TACGGTATAGTCGAAATAGAATGCTGGATATTTCTTTGTGTGTGTTTAAGTAAGAATATAAATCTTACATTGGTCACGAGGAAAATTTCGCGTAACCATTTCTTTAGCTTTTCTATTCTCATTTCAGATGCACGGTAAAAATTTTATTTTCCCAATCTTTACGTTAGAATAAGATTTATTTGAACCAAAAATTCAGAACTAGATAATCATAATTACATATACAAAATTGAACAGAGAGAGAGAGAGAGGGAGAGAAAGAGGGAAAGTTATGTAATAAAAAAAAATGGAGCAATTTTATTTTCTAATTCTATAAACGTTTTATTTAAAATCAACGTAATAAAATTGCATTTATTTCAATTTATCAATTCATTGTAACATATATAAACAATGAAATAAAATTATTTATATATGTTATGATGAATTATATGACATAAAATTATTATTACAAATTTGTTAACAAAGTAAAAGTTTGAGAGAGGCCGTAACTAAATCTTTCATCCCTGCTATTTCGTAATAACGAAAGTGCAATCGTCGTCACTTGGTGTTTATAACACCTGATTTCCACGCCATTCAAATTTACCCTCACGTAAAGTTTTTTTTGACCAGCGCGACCCTCCTTAGTCCCCTTTTTTAGTCCGCCACCCGGGGATTGTTCTTTTATTCCTCCTCTCCCCCTCCCCCCATCCCTATTCCAACCAAGCGGAATTTATCGTCATTTATTGTGCAAACTATGTCGTCTCGCTGGCGTTGAGTTAGATGCGCAACAAGTGCAATTTCCGGCACAGCAGGTAGATGTTTTGATGCACCCCTATTTTACCTGCCGTTTCACCGAATCTATTCGTACCGTAATCTCGTATCGATGGAGGATCATGCCCAATTCTTAATGCCACGCGCCACTATACTCAAAAAAACATAGAAAAGATGGGACTGTGAAAGTCTTTTGTCATAATAAGAGTAAATGTGCGGAACTGAAGCGTTCGACCAATATTTTTTTTCGAACAGAGACGTTACGAATAATCACGATAAAATACGACGGGCATAATTTCTTTACGACATTTTAATGATAGTAAAATGGAACCAATGGCCCGGAACATAGGCGTAACAAAATTTTAATATATGCGGAAAATAAGAAAAAGTTGTTCAAATAGATAAAAGAAAAAGAAAATTTTACGGTTCTGCTCCGTTCAACATACACCATATTCATTGAAGAAATTATAGTGCAATTAGGGAACGCAGCGTGTTGCAAAACTATTAGATAATATTGTCTCGAAGAATTAATAATGCACTTTTGTACTTTTGGAGCCATTAAATCAAATATAATTTATGTACCTAACTATCTCGTTCGTTAAATGTTGTCTATATGTTAATGTATGAGCATAAATAATGTGTTATAATTACTTTAATCTTAAGTATTCTAAATGTTAAATCAATTAATAATTTGTTGCCTCAATTATATTCAATCAATTCGATATATTAATATTTAAAGAAATTTCGTTTATTCAAACGCAGCTTTCTTTTCTCAAATAATTTTCAAAAATAATTACGTAAAAATACAAATGTATTCAAAAAATTCGAAGACTTAATGTGCAGGTGCTGTTTTAATAATCCGACATAACTATTTAAATTATCAATCGTACCATATTAACGACTTGCATCTTATTAGATGTAACTATTTGATCGCTATCGGCTTCATATATGGTAATCTTACTTATCAAAAACAATCTTTTATTCAGTGGATGAAGATAATGGGTTTGAACATTTGCATTAGAATGACAATATCAAAATTAAGGCCTCCTTGGCGTGTGCATAGCAATTGCAAAATTACGACTGGCCGACAACGCGGAATATCTCCAATGGCGGAATCTCACACGCGTCTGATAATTTTATGTCACTTCCTATGTTATCTATCGCGATACTCGTCTCGCGACAACGATATTCGTACTATTCATCAAGTGACAGTTGATCGTGTTTCAATCAACCCGCCCAAAAAAAGAACGCCTTGTGTAATCGAAATTATTCGATAAGAAAAAAATATCCGAAGATATATTCAGGTAATATAAAATAATATCGAACGTTTTCTTTTCGAAAGTGAATAATTATGAGACTCGAGTTTGTTAGTTGACTTTGTACAACATTATATCTTAGATATATAGTAAAAGTAATGTCGTGTCAAGCGCGCAAGAATACAAATAGAAGATAAAAATTGCCATGACAACACATAGTTGATTTTTATGAGTGCACATAGAATAGAAATAGTATGCAAATATAATTTTTATAATTAAAAAATGTGAATGTAATTATAATAATCTTTTCAATAAATTTTTAAGCAAAAGAATATGTTTATGATATTAGAATATTTTTGTGATTTTATTTAAGACATAAAATATTCATAAACTTCATACTTCATAAGCCGATACTTCTTGTTGAATATTTAGTATCGTTATCGGAAATGTGACGACTGCGTGCCAATAATTCCGGGTATGGTTTGGCAATTATAGCGGCAAAACTGTCACGTCATCGTCGGCCACGAGAAAAATACACAATTGTTGCTGCGGTTATAAATTACTTCGGCGACGTATCGTAACAGAAAGCTAGTCGATAATGATCTTTGTTACGCATTGCAAAGCCAATAATAGCACATAACGCAACTACTAAGATGGCTCCATGAATTATGATGAATGTATCAATGCATTTTGACAAATTTTGCACTGATTGCACGCGAAACAATAAAAAATCATTGCAATCATTTAATGTAGAATGGTCTTACACAGCCCAATCCGTGTAATACACTGTTCTTTTGCAGATGTGTGTTAATATTTGTGTTACTAATATATTATAACGATACGTTTTTCATATGAATACAAATTGTAGTAATAAATTTATAACAGCATAATATCATTTTTTATCTAAAAGAATTCGCAAGAAAAAAAAAATGACAGAACAATATCACATAATATATTTAATGCATTTTGAATAAGAATGAATATTTTTATATTTAATCTTTGTCTGATTTTTCTTATTTAGTTTAACAATGATGCCATTAGACCGATTACACACAAATATTGTCTGTGTATCTTTACTTGTATGATAAACAAGTTTTTACAAATCGGAAACACTCTGCAAAAAATCTGCGTTGATACTAGTTTCAAAAAATGGAAACAGCTCACGAACTGTAGCAAGCCATTCGGCATGTCCGTAATATTAAGAACCTATTTTAATATTAAAAATTTGCACGCATCGAAATGAATCGTTTAACCTTCAAATCCCGCATTATTTGCGCAATAGTGACCATACATCGCCTTACAGATTAGGATTTTTTCATTTATTATTTTTCATTTATATAGATTGCATTATCTCACGTTGCGCATACTGTTAGTGGCAAAAAAGCGAATAGCACATAAAATATTTTGGTAGCGATAAAAAGCGGTTAAAAACATATAATTCTGTAATTAAATTTTGCTAGAGCGGACAGGGGGTGATTATATAAATGGACGGATAAGCTGGGACAAATGGAAATACAGGACATTAAAAAAAAAAAGAAAAAAAAATTTGTTTGATAAATTTATTCATAATTTTAGCATAGATTGAACAAACATTTTCAATTTTCAGATATTTTCATTAAAAATATCATTTCAATAATTTTATCGAGAAATAATCACACAACTTCGTTACTTCATATTTGTTCCTCTATGCAGTGTCTATATCCGAATTAATTGGAAACGGCTTACCACTTGTCCCAGTCTACTCAATTTGAAATATTTAGTAGATTTTCGTATCCGAACGATGACGAATATTTTTGCAAACGAGCTTCGTGGAATATCGGAACTCGTTTCGTCTCAATGAATAAACATAGAAAGAAAGAAAAGAAGAAGCTGCGTACAGTCAGAATGAGCAACAGAGAAGAAACAGGAGAGTAGAGCGGTCGAAGAGGAGTCTTGTGAAGAGGTAATCGCGCCTGTATGGTATTGTGTCAGAAAAACTTGTCTCGCAATCTCTCGCGCTGCGACAGAGGAAAGGGAAAGGAAGAACGGAAAAGGCGTAAAGATAACCGAGAAAGAGAGACAGAAAAGAGGAACAGATGGAGGAGAAAAAGGAGAGGGGCAGTGTCGACGTAAATAAAGAGTCTCGTTTCGACGAACCGCTATTTTGCCCCGCGAAGGGTCGGTGCAACCAGCAGCAGCAGCAGCATTCATAAAAAAAGCGTTTGAAGGCTGTCTGTTCTAAATTCGAAACGACGATGACGATGACGACGACGGAACAGGGAGGCTTAGACTCGCGTGGGATTTCGCGCGCGACTCGAAATTTACTCCAAAACGCCTGTTGCGTCATTAAGACGCTGCCACGTATATAGCGCTCTAATTAAAGCGTAAGCCATGAATTATACGAGAGAGATCGCGTTTTTTATCTATTACCAACAAGCTTGCGACGCACCATTCGCGAGCGCTTCGCGTAATCGTGACCAGATGCACTTGGAATCGAATCAAATCGCATGACGAGCGTATTAAGCGAGTTATCTTTAATTATAGATCCGTTTTTTCGATCATATCGAACGTCTGCCTAAAAGGCATATTTATCCTACGACGTTTTATTTCCTTTTCAAAATGACTCACGCGTGTTTGCCCAAAAAGGAAGGAACGAGTTTGTAAGTATCTGCGGATTCGGAAGTGGATCGAACATCCATTCATTTGGAGCAACGCGATGCAACAGACGACAGAGGATCCAAGACACGAGGGAAAAGGGGGGGAGAAGAGGAAAAGGAGAGGGAGCAACTGCCAGACAGAGAGTGCGAGATGAAAAAAACGCGGAGCGGGAGGAGAGAGAGAGAGAGAGAGAGAGAGAGAGAGGGGGGAGAGGCGAAAATTGATAGACGAGAATAATGAGAGAGCGAGAGGGGAAAATATGTGCGAGTGAAGCTGAAAAAGAGGGGAAGAAGGGGGGTTTGGCAAGCGGCTCATTAACGATAACAAAGGCCCTAGATGCGAGAGAATCATTGAGGTTACCTGTGACATCATTGGCGGCTACGTCGGCGATGAGATTGACTCGCTGTCGTGTTTGTTGCTGCTGATGTACCTGATGCAGGCTCTGTTGTTGGGACGATCCCGTCAAGGACAGATTACCGGCGTTCGTAGCGGTACTTTCCGTCAGGATCACCGTCGGCGCCACGGCGGAGGAGGAGGACGACGCCGACGGCGACGACGACGACGATGACGACGACGTGGATGATTCCGCGAGAGGGCCCGCCGTCGTAGCGATGCCGGTATTGTTGTCGAGGATCGTCGCCGCGGGCTCACCCCCGCTCTCCCCTGTCCTCGTATCCATTCGGCCCCCGTATATGCCAGCAGACAGACGGACAGACAGGCAGGCAGGCAAGGAGTCCCTCCTCCTCTCTCCTCCACGTCGTCCCCGCGAGCGTACGCACTTATCCTCGAAAGAACACCTACACTCTTTTACGTGCTCCCTTTCGATCTCTTTCTTTCTTTCACCTTCTCTCTCTCTCTCTCTCTCTCGTTCGTTCTCTCGCTCCTACTCTCTCTTTCTTCGCAATTCCGTCCCGCGGTAGCGCGCGCTTCGTTCCCGTCTTTTTCCACGCTCCTCTCTTTCTCTCTTCTCTCGCGCTCAATGTCTCACTCACACTTTCCCTCTCACGCTTTTGCCCACGAGGGCCCTTCTCTTCGTCGCACTTGCGCACGCTCGCGACGTGTCTTTCACCTCACTCTCTCTCTCTCTCTCTCTCTCTCTCTCTCTTCTACCGTCTCTTTTCACTGTTACGCGCCCCGCGCGCGCCGTGTCCGACAGCGTATCGAAACTGCACCGCCGCCTCGGTTAGCTCGCTCGCTAGCTCACTCCCTCGCTCCGGCGGCTTTCTTCGTCTCTCTTTCTCTCTCTGTCTCTCTATCTATCTACAATCCGTCGTCAGCCGTCGTACGTCGGTGTATCACGGGACGACGGCATTGCACCGCGCACGCACACGCCACGCTTAGAGAAAAAAATGGAGGAGTTCGCGCGCGTATCTGTTAACCTCCTGTCCGTCGGCCCGTGAAAAAATGGAACGTTAGACAAATGTAGGTCTGTAGGCCACTTCACTTACACTTTGCATCGGCACGGGCACTCCCTTAGTCAAGCGAGCGTCCGGCGCACTGTCGCACTCTGACAGCGCGAGAGCCGTCAGGGCCGTAACGAGAGTTGCCACGTGTCTGCATATCCCGTACGACGCCGAGTCTTGTAATTTTCTTCGACGTATCCTCCTCGGGTACGATTGTCGGACGCAACGTCGCGGGTAGACACGCGAGGATAGACGCGTCGCGATTAATTATCGCGAATTGAATTTCCGCCAACTTCCGTTTCGCTTCTGCAGTGTTTGTGGCGGGAAATGAGCTCGATCGCGCGATTAGAGCCGACGCACGCGATTTACGCGAGTCTAAAGACAGATGACCGCGATAAAGCGCAAGGGAACCGCGTGTCACGTGAGCGCGATAATCGTCGACTGTTCGTGAAACGGAGCGCACGTCATTTCGATTCGCAATCGGACAATCGACGCGTTATCTCACGGGGAGGGTGATGTTATACAAGACCTACCTACGTGGCGTTCTCATATGTACGGCAGTGGGCCGAACGAAAGGGAAAACCTAATCGCGGAAACATAATCTCGCAAACGCCGGCGCTCGCTTTCTCGCTCGCTCGTGCGCGTCGTCGCTCGAGACGGCACGCCATCGCGTCAATCTTCTCGTTGTCGTTCGACGAAAGGGAAAAGAGAGAGAGAGAAAGAGAGAGAGAGGAAACTTTCGTTTCGCAAACGAGGCAAGAGAACGAGCCAGCATAACACGAGACAGGCCACCCGGTTAGTTCGAGGTGCCGTCGCGCGTCGCCTACGGCACTGCGCCCCGTCGGCGAGCTCGTCTCTCGCGGACGGAAAGACGCAATTTCCAAAAGGCAGGCCTCCCCTTCCCCTCGCCTCGCCTCGCCCCGCGTCGTCGCGATCGCGTAGCTGCGTGTGAATCCACGTGTTGACCGGACCGTATCGCCGTACGCGATACTTTTCGGTCGCGATCCCGCCTGTCACGTACCTCTCTCCTCCTCCTACAGTGACGGTCGATTTGCCGCCGCCGCCGCCGCCGCGTCGGATACGACCGATGGCTTAAGCTCTAAGTAGGTCAGCTGCCGCAATGTCCGAACGGCCGGCGCGGGCCGACCTTACGCGGTGCACGTTGCATAACTCGTCACCGCGCGACTTCACCGAATATAACCGCGTGAAAAACTACGATTCGACGGACATAATGCGGCGTAATCCGTTTTTCAACGAACAATGCACTTGACTAACGCACTCGCGTTCGGCGCGCCCGGCGCCCTCTGTCGCGGACGCGCGCCCGATTTGAAACGATCGGGACGCGACGAGAACACACACGGGCACAGTTTGTAATTCTTTGACCGATGATTTAAAATTTAAACAGATCGATTGCACGTAAAACAATGCAACATCAATCGTTTTTCTTGTAATCCATTTTTTTCTATTTTTCGCACGGAATATTGACAATTGTACATATACAAACTTTGAAACTATTGAGAAACAAAAACTGAAAATAATTTTCCGTAAATTTGAGATTTCTGAACGCTTTTTCTTCTTTTTTTAGATACAGTCAATTAAACGCAAATGTATAACAGATATTTATTTATTTTTAAGAAGGTTTTACTGAAATACAATCTCTCTCTCTCTCTTTCTTAATGTAAGGAGTTATCAAAAAATATCTAATAGAGAAATTGAAATGTAAAAAAAATTGGTAGAATATGGACCAGTAAAATGTTCGCTGTAGAAGAAATAAACATCAAATTGCTTAAAGTATCAAAGATAAATCAAAAGTTTATATATATATATTTTCTAGCACTCTTTTATGAAGGGTATTATGAAAGCCCATCCTTCTGTCATTACAGTCTTTTCGTTTTTATACTTGCAATATTTCCTTGAATAAAAGCGACTTGAATCAAACCATATCTTCATATACATCATCTTCACAAATATCCATATAAAAAATTTATATAGCTTATCTAAAGACAAATACAATTGTGTTTATGAGATATATATATCTACAAGAATATAAAAATTGTTCAACACTCGCATCTCAATATCATATATAAAATATATCTTAAAACTTTATCATTGTAAAACTTATAAAAATATCTGAATAAATTTTATATTTTGATTGTGACAATATGATTATTAGATGACGATATGATTAATCTCAATTGTTTCTTTGTTTGGCTTCACGGAACAGAGCACGTGATATAATCAACCTTTGAATCTGTGCAGTACCTTCGTATATTTGAAAAATTTTGGCATCACGCATAAGTTTTTCTACTGGATATTCAGTATTGAAACCTGCACCACCATAAACCTGAAAAAGAAAATTGTTACATGCAATAAATTGTAGGAAAAATATATATATGTACTCGATCTTTAAGAGAGCAAAAAAATTCTTTTATATAAATTATCGCATTCACCTGTACAGCGTCTGTAGCACATTTATTAGCTATATCAGCAGCATAACATTTTGAAATACTCGCGAGCATTGTAGCATTTGGTAATTCTTTATCGGCAGCCCAAGCTGCCTTCATCCATGACATTCTGGAAGTTTCAACACCAATAGCCATATCAGCCAATATAAAAGCGATAGCTTGATGTTCTGCTATCGGTTTATCAAATGTCTTACGTTCCATTGCATATTTCGTTGCTTCATCCAGAGCTCTCTGAGCTAAACCAACAGCCGCTGCTGCAACCTATAATATGAATATGAAGATGTGCAAACCTTTTATATTCAATTCATTCAATATCTGATGTCATGAATAGAAATATACCGGTGATCGGGTTTTGTCAAAAGTCTTCATAGCTATCTTGAAACCTTGACCTTCTCCCAATAATACATTTTCTTCAGGAACACGAACATCTTCGAATGTTACCATTCGTGTGTCACTTGCTCTTTGCCCCATATTCAATTCCTTTAAGAAACGAAAAGTGGTTAATAAGACTAATAAAAATTCGTATTTTAACACATTCAAATAAAATAACAAAAAATTATTATCAGATATTACCTTACGACCTGGAGTTAAACCATCACTATCACGTTCTACGATGAAGCCTGTAAAAGCCTTAGAAGCTGGAGCTTTTGGATCAGGATTTGTTCTCGCCAAAACAAAATACCTATATAATAAGAAATTGTTAAAAAAAAAAAAAGAAAGATTTCTATAAATTAATATCAGATGTTTAAGTGTACTATTTTACCAATTAGCAACACCACCATTTGTAATCCACATTTTTGTGCCGTTAATTATCCATTCTTTCCCTTTCTTCTCAGCTTTAGTCTTGATACCTGCTACATCAGATCCTGCACCAGGTTCAGTAACACAATATGCCTGTAAAAAAATAATATCGTTTAATTTATATATTACATTAAAGAAATATATATATACATACATATATATATATATATATATATATTTGAAAATTTAACACACCGCAACAAGTGGCTCCTCTATTAGTCTTCCAAGATATTTCTTTTGTTGTTCCTTGGTTCCAGCTATGATGACTGGAGTTTGCTGAATAAATAAAGACAAAAAGTTTCAATATTTTCTCTTAATATATTAAATAATTTGATTAAGAGACATATATCTTATTAAAATAATCTTATTAAAATTTTGTGTGACAAAGAAGTGAAGTATGTATAATAAATAAAAAAACTGACTCCAAGACTTGAAGCATCTATTGCAGTTGTTATTCCTGTACAACCATAAGCAAATTCTTCTGTAACTAAGCAGCCATCGAAGGTATTACTTTCCAAACCACCTATGATATAAATAATATTGAATTATATTTTTACATTGGCAGATATTATTCTTTATTCCTATAACTTTTCAAATATATCACAAGTCAAACATACCACAATGCTGTGGAACATGTTTATTCAGAAGACCAATGCTCCATGCCTTTTTGAGAACATCCCATGGATATTTTCCAGTTCTATCATATTCTGTAGCTACTGGAATAATCTCTTCTTTGACAAATTTCCGTGCTAGATCCTGCATTTCTCTTTGAGTATCAGATAGTTCTAACAATTCAATAAAAAAATTGTGTTTTTCAGTCAGATATTAATGATTCATGCAAATAATATAATGTATAAATATATGTAATATAGGACAATATGCAAATATAAACCTGCAATGTTTTGCACAACATTTGTATTCAAGGGAAGAGTGTAATAAGTTTTATTCTTATTTGTTATACAATTTGTATATAATATATATATATATATATAAAATTTTTTATTCCAAAAATTAAATTTATTAAGAGATTTGTATTTTTTTCATCTGTTGGAGTATAAATATAAATAACATAAATGTGCCATTTATTTTTGCATATTTTTAAATATAAAAATGATTCAATACAAAATACATCATAAAACTAAATAAATATATAATAATACTTTACACAAAGTAAGAAAATATATACTTATAATGTTTGTATATGTATATATATGTTGTATTTATATATATTTTATTTTTATTTTATTATATATTCTAAGGCAAATGCAATTTGTGTATGTCGTTGAAGCAATTGGAAAAATATATAAAAAGTTCATATAAGGGTTAAAATTTTTATTTTTTAAATTAAGAGATTAAAAGCTTTGAATAATTTATTTGTAAAAGTAAATAAAAATATTGAAAAATGACAATGTCAATAAAACAAATTTTATTTAAGATTTTGAGTTTTTATATATATGATATTTGGTATCCATCTGATATACTGTACATAAAACAAAGATTGATTTATTTTCTTAGAAAAATTTAAATGTGAATATATCCAAAGCCTTTAGGTACAAGTACTTATACGAGTCAATATATAAAATATGTTCTTCATAATCTTAAAAATTGCTCCAAATCAATAAGGAACTAGATTTCTTTATTCTTTTTACTCAAAAGAAAGAATTGATATCATGTATAAATATATATACTAACCAAAATTATATCCTTGGATAGATTCAGCAGCTGCTGAGAATGGACGTACCATTTTTTGGTATACTTTTGGATTGAATATCTGAAAATTGATGTCGAGGTATATGAGCGTAATATTGACCATATAAAAAACTTATTCAATAAATCGCATACTAAACATCTTAGCTATTTTTTAAGATCTATTCTTTGCAGTTACAATATGTTGCATTTTCTACATACAAAATGAGATAGATATATACCAAAATACTAGAGGAAAAAAAAAGGAAAAGATGAATAATACAGAAGGTTCAGTTACAAAAAACAAACTTGTACTATTCTCTATTTATACTATGCAATAAAGTTATAAAAATAGCATAATGTACAATTTCAATAAAACAAATAAATTGAATGATTATTGCTCTTTTGTTACTTACCTTTTTAAGCATCATAGTGGGAGTATTTAATTTTAGACAGAATGAAGAACAGATATTATTGAGATTGAATATGTTCTTCTATTTGAAAGAAACTGATGACTTTGCGAAAGAAATCTGTTACATATAGATATCAAGGTTGTTATCAAGATGGTAAAGTGGAGGGGACAAATCTATATTCACATTTGTACAGGTTAAAGTACAAAGTAAAGAGACAGAAATAATTAAATTATTAATATTCAGCTTAAAATGATGAATGTTCAAGCAACAGTGACAAATCGTTTAATAATTAATTTCTTTTATTAAATATATATCTTACGATAAACTATAATATAGCTTACATGTAATAAAAGATGAAAAACAACAGTGGAATATTACTAATAGAATATAACAATTTAATTTTATTTATGATTAGGTTTTTATTTTAATATTGAAACGTTTCTCTACAAATATATAAATTTCTCGATAATTACGAAAGACAACTTGAACAACAGCAATAAAAATTTCAGAGTTGGCTGGTAACTATCGACCAATGACGAAAAACACATACTCTACATTCTACATGAACATATATATGTACCTTAAATAAAGGCAAACGCTCGGTCTAGATATACTATGTCTATGGTCTAGATATACTATGTCTATGCATATATACCTTGTATTAAAAAAAACCGTAGCCCCCTTTTTCCCTGCATGAGAACACGAATCGATATATTTTGTTTATCAAATGAGATCGGTAAATTAGAGAATAATTGAGAAGATTAATATAATCGATTGTCGATAATATCACACTAACATGAATTGACTAAATCGCTAAATTATAAGAATTGCTTAGGCCCTGCGCACAATAGAAGAAATATTAGGAATAGGATTAAAATATTAAATATCAGGAGGAGCAACTTGGAATTATTTTACTTCAAACAAGGGAACAGAATGGATTAACGCATAATGAAATAAAAAAATAAAAATTAGAAATAATTAATCCATCCCGTTTCCTTGTTTGAAGTAAAATAATTCCAAATTGTTCCTCCTGATATTTAATATTTTATTCCTATTCCTAATATTTTCTCTATTGTGCGCAGGGCCTTAGCTTTATCCTATATTAAAGACTGCTGGCCTTGAATAAATTTTCGTGACTACGAAGTGGGCCCGATGGGCCCGGAAATAATAAAATATTGATGACATTATCGGTTTTGATTGCATTAATTGAAGATAATTACACGAGTTATTTATTAATTTTTATGCGATTATTTTTTAGTTCATCCAGCTAATATTGTTTTATTATCAAAAATGTAATATATATATAGATATCTTTTATGTAACTGCCTCAAAAATAACAAAATAAATATTTTATTGTTCCAAATTACTAATGATATATACAGGGTGTCAACAAACTGAACAAAAAAGTCCTTTATTATTTTGCAATTTTTGCAATAATTATTGAAATCAAACTTTCTGTTGAAATATATTAATTAGAAAAAATTGGCGAATGAGCGCGCATTTCGCTCGGCTAGACCGTAGCCGTAGAACGTAACGTACGCTCTAGGCGTGCCAGCAGCAAACTTCGCAATGTCGCATGGCAACGAAAAGTTTGGCCTTGCGAGGGAGAGTCGGGCGAAGCCAATTTTTTAAATGCATTAATGTATGCATAATACATTTGATACATACATTAGATTCAATACATGCATACATTAAATATAATTTGATCATTTCGAAGACAATTAAGAAAAAATTATTAGGGACGTTATTGATTATAAATGTAAATTAGAGATAAATTCATGGTTTTTATTAGGCTCGCAAAACAGTCAAATAAAAATAAATATAAATGATAAATAAAAATGAGATGACGTAATCGTTAGATGATCATAGTTCAAGAATGTTTGAAATATGTTCTTGGTAGCAACCTTTGATAAACATATACTTCATATTTTACTCAGAATATACAGGGTGTCTGGTAAAGATTGCGCCAACATGCGCCTCGTGAGCGGGTAGAGTACAGTAAATTGAACAGAAAAGTCCTTTACTATTTTGCGATTTTTGCAATAATTATTGAGGAATTAATTAAAAAAGATTGACCAATTCGTGTATTCGCGCGGCGAGAAAAAACGGTACAGACATCCCAAAAGTTTGCGGTCGCTAGGCGCGCGAGGAAGTTTTGGGAGAAACGCTCTACAAATAACCATTACGTACGAGCGATACATAACGATGGATTCTCGCGTCCTAGCAACCACACATCAATGAGTTGTCCTTTTTTACTACGCGCTTATACTCACACGCGAATTGGTCAATATTTTTAAATTAATTTCTCAATAATTATTACGAAAATCGCAAAATAATAAAGGACTTTTCTGTTCAATTTACTGTTCTACCCGCTCACGAGCGTTGGCATAATTTTTACCAGACACCCTGTATATACGACAAGTACGGTTTTTTTTTACAATACATCGTATCACATATCTTTACGCAATAAGCACTTTGTTAATGCAAAATTATCTCTAGAAAACGTTTTCATGAATAATGGATGGAAAACTTATTGATGAATAATTGTTCATTATGTTTCTGTCGCATGAATAATTGAGCCGTTTGATTTGAAAGTGGCCTAAGTCCATTTGTCAATTATTTCCGGTTGCCCGTGGTTACATGTACAACTTCAAGTTATCTATCAATAAAGCATAAATATTAATTAAAAAAATAAATGGACTTAGGCCACTTTCAAAATAAATGGATTGATGGAAAAATATGATAATGTTTAACCTATTATATGTTTTGCATCCGTGACAATATCTGAATGTGTTTCGCAGTTAAACTCATTGTTTGTACTTATTAGAGATAAGACTCAAGAGAGTTCAGTTATTACGAAAATATATAATTCATTCGTATTTTTAACTCGATCGAATCTTTCAAATACTCACTTATCCGTATATTCTTAAAAAAGACAATATTTGTCTTTGTAAATGTTTGTTCTTCATAGAAGAACTCGTGAAATAAAGCCTAAAATTACAAAATTACATTAATAAAGTTACGCGAAGAATAAAATTATTATTTATTTGTTTAAGAGATTGAAAGATTAAAAAAAAATTCTTAAAAAGCGTTTTGTTTCTTTATATAAGGGTCATTTAATATTTCTTATTATTTAGGATTTAGATAATTGATATTCTCTCTCTGTATTTAGAAAAAAAAATCATATTTTTTCATGTGTACTATTATATATAAAAAGAAATCTTGTCCTCCATTTTGATATATTGATTTTTTTCCTTTCTCTTTTTTATAAGGTAAAGATGCAAATAAGATGCAAATTAATATGAGAAATGAATAGTAATTTATTTCTCAAATCCAAGAAACGAAAATAAAATTAATAAATTTTTTTAAAATATGCAATATAATGTGTCATTATATAATACGCACAACACTAACCATTACTGCTAAAAGATGTGTTTTTTTTTAATCTTTCCCAATCAATTCTCTATATCTTCTTTTTACCTTATTCATAATTAGAAATATATCATCATTAAACTGTCAGAATCACTAACTGTACTATGACCATCTCATAATTTTTTATATCAGTCAGTTCGTATAAATAAGATGTACAATCTCCATGGAATACTTAGTATCTTATTACGAGAGGTAGTGCGCAAAAGTGTAAAAAATAATGGCTCGGCTAAACTATATCGTAGTGATCATTAGTATTGCATTAACATGCATTCTCGCAGAGGAATTATATTCCGATCGATACGACGGCGTTGATTACATCGCAGTTTTTAGCAATCCCAAAATGCGACAACAGTATTACAAATGTTTTATGGATTTTGCACCATGCAAGACAGCTGACGCAAAATTCTTTAAAGGTATGAATATCTCACTTTTATCGCATTATTTTTTTCATTGCGGATTCTTTGATTTTATGGAATCAATTTTTTAATATAATAACAGTCAAGGCAATTATATTTTTCAAATAGTTAGCGATTGAAAATATAAGATATTTGCTGAGTTAAATGCATAAAAAAGCAAGCAAATATATGTAATTATATGTAAATATATATAATTTTGACAACAATTTTTTGTTGAAATAGCAAAATTCTTTGTCTATATATATTATTCATGATCAAATATGCTTGTTTCTAATATATGAATTTTTGGAGAGATAGCTCTCTCTCCAAAAAAGTTTCTTAGAAGTACGACAAATAAAATTAATTTTTAGTCTTTTTTTAGGGAAACTTTTTTTATAACAAAGTTAATTAAAATCAATAAATATCAAGCTTTTTTATTTTATTTTTAGGGATTATTGGCGAAGCTTTTCTAACCGAATGTAAGAAATGTACTGAAAAGCAAAAGCAACTTTTAGATTTCATGGTTGACTGGTATACAACAAATAAACCCACTGAACTGCAGGATCTTATTACAAAGACTATTGAGGATTTAAAACAGAAAAACGCCAGACAATAATTGCTGATGATAAATACTGACAAAATGGACATAAATATCACGTAACAGAAGGAAAACAGTGTATGATATCATCTATAAAATTATTAAATACTTTATACCTGGAGATCTTTCCATTCAGAGAAGAGAGATAAACTCCTTTAAGAAAAATATACATGTTATATAATTAATAAAATGTACTCCCCGTTATAAATAATGATATAATATGCAGTATTTGTATTGTTAGAATAAAACATCTATAAAAGCAGTTTTTAAATTTCGTTTTATTTATTGTAATGTATAATTATTTCAATACGAATCACTCTGCTTATTTACAATTTATTTTATAAGTGCATATATACATATTATACACAAGTGCTTGCAAAGTATTATTTTATTAGAAAATAGAAAAATGATAACATAAAATAAAATTCTTATACATTTTATTTATATAAAATAGCACTAGTAAATTTTAATATATTCTGCAATAGCAAGAATCATGAGAGAAGGTGTATGTATATGTGCGTTTAAATGTCTATATATTGACGCGTTCCAAACCAAAAGTTCCTAACAGTTTCTAATCTCAAATGAAAAGCCGTAAGTACCCACTAAATGCCAAATGTATATGAATATTTGGTTCGTTTTATCATGTGACAAAGAACATATTTAATAACATTTTATATGTGAGACAAGAGCACGCAAGAAAACATGAATGAATCTCGTGTATAATAGCGCCGTAATAGTGGTTGTCACATTTAGCTGTCAGCATGAAGATAGCTATTCATCCATTGACAGCTGATCCGACAGCAGCCTGGCGTGAGTTATCTCAGTATCAAAAAGTTGTTAAAATAAATGCTAAATTGCCGACGACCGAGGCACCGAGTGATAAAGTACGTCTGATAATTTTTATCGTCCTGATATTTTTATACAGAAAAATATATGTATGTTAACCTCAAAAATATCTTTATTTATTTTTATATTTTTCACATTCAAAATTTTTAAATCTCTATTTTTACAATTGCTAACATAAATACGTCTACCTGAGCAACGTATATTTAATTTAAAACGATAAAAAATTTTAATTTTTAGTTACGCATAGTATGTATGAGTGATACACACTCACTCACACCATTCATAAAATTTAATATACCCGCCGGAGACGTTTTTATTCACGCTGGAGATTTTACGAAATGTGGTAGTTTGCAAGAAGTTATAGAGTTCAACAATTGGATAGGTAAATTAATATATATAAATATTAATCTGTAATCTGCAATATTATACTATTATAACTTAATGAGTAATAAATCAGAAAAACCTGTAACTATAAAAACCATTATTTTTATTCATTAATGGCATCTTGAATTTTTAAATTTAAATCATAGAAATACTAACATATATTGTATAATTTTAGGTAACTTACCACACAAACATAAAATAGTTATAGCTGGCAATCATGAACTTAGCTTTGATCCCACATTTACGCATCCCTTTTCTGTGCACACCAGTGGCGATCATCAGAAACATACTGGAACCAGCATACTTGACAATATACCCACCTTGGGTATGTCAAAAGACATTCTTGCTGAAGCTATTAAAACTACTAATGTTAAAGATTATCTGACAAACTGTACATATTTGGAAGATTCTGAGATTGTAATACATGGAATCAAGATATACGGTACTCCATGGTAAATACTTTGTCAAATTAGCTTTGCTAAAAAACTTTCTAGCAAATAAATATGTGCGTAAGCTTATTAAATAAAAACTTATATAACTCAGAATTGAAAAAGTTAAGCTTTTATCTATAAACATTTTTGTATCGTTTTTAAAATATTATGGAAAAGATAATTCTCATATATTTAGGTTCTAAGATTAAACAATATACACAAAATATATTTGCACAGCTTGTCTAAATTGTGATATATTGTAAAAGATAAACCATCAGAATTGTATCAAAAAATTGACTATCTTGAACATTTATGAAAAATATTTGTAGAAAATAATTTCAGGTATAAAAGATTTCTTATTTCTGAAGGACATTTCATTGCAATCTTAGGCAACCAGAATTTTGTAAATGGGCATTTAATGTACCACGTGGAGAAGCATGCCTGTCAAAATGGGAATTGATTCCATCAGATACAGATATCCTTGTAACACATACTCCTCCTGTAGGTCATGGAGATCTATGCTGTAGCGGAGTACGCGCTGGATGTGTAGAGTTATTGTCCACGGTACAAAATCGTGTGAAGCCCAAATACCATGTATTTGGTCATATACATGAAGGTATAATGAAATCTTAAATGCAAAATCTAAATATATATATATATATATATATATGACAATATTTATATTATAAGTTTTCCATTTATGTAATTTTATTTTACAGGATATGGTATATCGTCAGATGGCAAAATAATATACATTAATGCATCTACATGTGATTTAAATTATTTGCCAAGTAATTCACCAATAGTATTTGATATAACGTTACCTCCCGGTGTTAAAAAATCGTAAACTATCAGATTAGATAACACCAATATAAGAACACATTAGATTTTTCTTACAAGCTTGAGAAAAATCCACACATTATCTATATACAATTATATAGAGATACAATATTACATAGAGAAGTTTCTCTTGCCTTAATTTAAATATGGAAAATGTATAAAGCATATGATATAAGTATTAATTTGTTTTTCTTTTTCATACAATTTGTAATGATTTAAAATCTTAATAATATTAAAAATAAGATATCCATAAAATTGTATAATCTCTTTTTTCTTAAAAATATATACTCTATTACCTCCTTTTCTTTTTGTTTTATCTCTTCCTTTTTTTTCTAATATGAATAAAAATTAGTTTTTATTTTTCAAATTTTCAACATGATTATAATATTTTGACATCTTTTATTAAAAAGTGGTCAAATATTAATGAAAGAATCTATTATAGAAAAAAGAATTTTGTGGTATCTCGCATACATATATATGCTTCTTTAATAAATACTACTTTTTACTCTTTATACATTTATTGCTATACCTAATGGAGTAACAATAACATTTTTTTCATCAAATAAGAAAAGTTTGCTTCCATATATCATAGTCATATTAAGCTAAATTATGTTGGTCTGGAGTTATTTTCTAAATAAAAACAAAATCTACATTACAAACTTTTTTTTATTGTAATATGGCTGATATATTAAATATTAAAATATGGTCGCATTAAAAGAAAACACGACCATTTTCTTATCTATGATAATCACAACACAATAGGGTTATTTTAACATAATTACGAAAATTTATTTATATATTTTTAGCATCAATATATGAAAAATTTTTATATGCAGAGATATTACAAATTACAAATTTTTATTTAAATACAGGATATTAGAATTAGTAAATTATGTTTCCTGAATATTACGTGCGGTGCGCGCGTATTGAGAACATCTAATCATATTGACAAACATTTTAATATATTAAATTATTAATAATCTTGTTATAATAAAAGATCAACTCCTCTTTTATTTTTTTAAGCAGAACAACTGATAAGGATGCTACAAGTTATATACAGCAGAAGCTGCAACTTTGATCACAACAAAATTCCAACAAGACAAAGAATTATATATTCTTTCTACTATCTATAGAAGTTCGAAGAATGCTTGGGCTACTAAATTTTAAAGAAAAGAAAATCGACTTATATATCTAAATCTAGTCTTCTAAAAATTTATCATGATTCTGCATTGATTAGTGTCAGATTTACTGTTAGAAATTCATGAAAAAATAGAACTAATATAAATCTCAATTTAAAGTAGGAAGATTTTCATCTAATACGGTACATTTGAAAACAGATATGATACAGATTCACCATTATGCGTCCGCCTTACGGCTTCAGCAAACATCATCGATACGTCAATGCACTGAAAGATAAAATTAATGCTATAATGTTAGAATTAAATTACTCTCTACAATATTATCATCACTATTATTATCGCGATAAGAAAGTATTTTATAGTATGATTTCTTGAGCGACAGTTACCTGAATCTTTGGGCAATCTTTCATGTGACCATCTTGAGGAATAGTATTGGTCACTACCACAGCCTCGAAACAAGCGTTGTTAATCCTGCTGATTGCTGGGCCGCTGAATATACCATGCGTAAGTATTGCGTAAACCTTTGTGGCACCAGCTTCTAATAGCTTTTCCGCTGCATGACAAATAGTACCGCAGGTATCGGCCATATCATCTACGAGAATCGCGACTCTGTCTTTAACATCTCCAACTAATACCATACTAGCGACTTCATTAGCCTTTTTTCTTTCTTTATGTATGAGCGCAAACTCAACATTTAATCGATCCGCGATAGATGTGACTCTGTAAAATAAAAGAAGTGTTAGAAAAAAAAAAAAAAAAAAATCTTCGATTAGAATTTCGTCTTTTCCTTCCCATTACTTACCTCTTGGCGCCGCCCGCATCAGGGGAGACAATGATACTATTTCGCCATTCAACAATATTCTCCTTAATCCATTTGAGGACAGCTGGCTCGGCAAATAAATTATCAACTGGGATATCAAAGAATCCTTGTATTTGACTAGCGTGTAAGTCCATTGTGATAATGTGATCAGCACCCGCTACGGAAAGCATATTCGCCACTAGCTTCGCGGAGATCGGCGCGCGACTCTGTAAAACACATTTCGATAAGATAAGTTTTGAGAATTCGGACGAGTCCTTCAAGTCCATTTGCAACTGGAAATATCCTGCAATTTAAAGAAATTGCTATTAAAATCTCATAAAAGCACGCCGAAAACATATTACGAAAAATCGAAAAAAGTTATAAGCCCCAGTCTGTTTGCTATCTTTTGAACTGAACAAAAATTTCACAGGATACAATATCAATTAATCTCTACTGCCTATAAGGGCTTTTTTTAAGATATAGGATTTGATTTTTACTTAAATATTGGAAACAAATTGCCAAAAGAGATTTTCTTTTTTTCAGAGGGGACAAAATATGAATAAAATGGCCATGTAGTAAAATATTACTTTTTTTCTCAGAAGATATACATTTATAGAGAATAAATTTTGATAAAGGCACAACGTTGCAAATGCACCCCAGTTAGACTCTAAATAACTATTGTAAGTGAAGCAAAATATCTAAGATTATGAACGCAAAACGAAACACAATGCATCTCGGTCCCTTACCCTCATATAGCAAAGGATGGTATGAGATGAACAAGAGGGCAAACATTCATAATAAGTACATATTACAAATATAAAAATAGATTTTAATAAATATAGATATATCAGTATATATATAACCCTATGTAATATCAAAGATATATTATGAGACATTTTTATGAGAAGAAGCAATTTCTCACGAAATACTGCGAATGATATATTTCCACAGGGTTGCGATTTATAGCTGACAATAGTGAGTTTTGGATTTTGGCCAACGGAAACGGAAACGTGTAAACAAATTGAAACATTTGCAAGCAGGTGTATCGATTCGTCATCGAGACATATGTCACGCACATTCTATTTCATACATACAACCATAGATATATAACCATAGATATTCGTATTATATATATATATATATATATATATATTGCGAGTGCATATCTCTGACATTTGTGCAAAATTATATAAAAGAGAATTTATAATTGTAAATTAAAATATATCTGTATTAGTACATTGTCTTTAATAAAGAAATGCATTGTGCAAATGATAGGATATTTTTAACATGTCACTTGTGATATATGAGTGTTGTACATAAAGTTTACAAAAGACCACATTAATAATTATTTCAAGACATCTTTTTATAATTACTATATTGACAGGATATAAGTTATTACAAAAAAAAAAAAAAAAAACACTGACACATTCCTACACTATTTAAGCATTAATAAGGATGGACGATACTTGATTAGTGCACTCGGACAATAACACCGATTTAAACCTCAATAATTAGTACCCAATGAAACATACATATATGTACGCGTACCCTTAATACACCCCATATACTCCGCGTACATTATACTAATTGCGAACAATGTACTGCAAGTGTACTGCTATTATATTAATATTTTGCCCTCTCATTCGGATATCAATATGCTTTGACCAAATGTTTCATTCATTCATTCATACATGGGGATACCAATGTGCTGTATAGCAACAATATTATATAAGTTTGGTTAGTCCTACAAAGAAAATTTTCATCTTAATTTCAAAAATCAATATTACAAATCGGATCTTTGATCGAGTTATCATTGCAAACGCCGCACTCGACAATCTCGTTGCTATTATACTTACTGTAGACAGGTCGGGCAGAATATCCTGAAAATACCCAACTATTCAGAATCTTAAAAAGATACACACAAGTTTTCTTTTCTAATAAGCATTATAGCCAATAATGTTTTTTTATCTCTTTTCACTGTAGAATAATTTAAAAATATAACAAATGATAGCTAATAACTGTCTAACATAACAGCTGATCCAAAATTATAGAATTTTTTAAGTTTTATCTTATATATATTAATCTCATGCAGTACCCAAATAATACTGAAAAGATGCCCATTTTTGTTGTAAAATAATATATAAAAATATCATGCAAATAAATATCTTTTTTATTTAATTTTTACTTAATAAACTTAAAATAAATATATTGAATTAACAACGAAAAAGAATATATATATAAGAAATCTTATTTGTGATATATTTAATGTATAACATTAACCAAATGTGAGATATCAGAAATTGATAAATTGACGCAACAACAGAAATGTGCATACAAGACCCCCCTTGAAGAAATCTAACACGAGTTTTGCAATACCCGTCCGGGTTATCCAACATCTGATAACCTTTTATGTTATTATTGAACAACATGCTTGGAATGTATGCATTTGCAGTGCTCAGATGTCTAAAACATTTGCTATTTGTCTTGTTACAAACATTTTATCATAATTGCATTAGTAATGATAAGTTGCTAAAAATTATACCTCTATATTTATATGCATAATATATAATATTATAATATATAATATTATATAATCATCTACATTTTTTTTGTATATGTTTCAAAATAATATGTAGATGTTGATATTAAAAGCAACGAATGTTTGTTTCAAAATAAAATTCCAGTGACACAAATCTGAGTTAACATAACTTGTAGAAACTTATGTAACTCATGATTGATTTGTACAATTTTTAAATGGTTATATAAATAATATTCTTTATTATTGTTATAATAATAATTTTGATATGACTTTTATATGTGTATAATATACAAAATTTTTTGAAATGTTATTACGAATTTCATTTATTATATTAACATGCATAGTTTACCTAGTTTATTAATATTATCTCTGTATATATATATATATATATATATCTCAATTGACACTTGCAATCGTAAATCAAGACAGCCAATATAACATGATATATCTACTTTCATAAAAGATTAATGTCTTTATTAGTTTTGCCTATCAGAAATGCAAAAATATATCCCTTAAGAATATAAAAAAGAAATTATGACAATCAACAAATGATGAAAGTCCAGTAATATGTAAGTGTATCTTTCTCCTATCCGGTGCAGCCAATGATGTAAAGCCGGCAAAACATAAGCATATTTTATATATGACAATGAAAACAAATTTTGCGTTCCAAAAATGATATTACTCCACTGGTCTGTTAAAAGCTATGAGAGAATAAGAAGATATAATAGATAAAAAGGGACCGCCGCAAGTTACCCTGAATTTCCACTCGTTCGACTTCATGACAATCTGATTTTTAGAGTCTCCACCATCATTGCCCTGTGAAGATTAAAGAAATTAAAGAACATTAAAGAAATATAGCTTCTTCTTCAAGACAATGTTTCCTCCTTATTACTTTCGCCTTCTTTATCATCCAAACATTAATTTTAAGGTAATATTAAATAGAACAGAAACTGGAAACATATTTTACAAAAGACATAGATTTTGCATACTTATGTATAATATTATAATATAAGCAAGTTGTTGTGTTTGTATCATATATATTAAAAAAGTGGCAACATATTCTTAAATAAAAAATCATAAAATAAAAGCTGGAGGAAATTTTATGTGCATATTAATTATGTGTATATTAACTATTTATATATCCATGAGACACACTTAAATTTTGTTGAAAAAATTGTTGTACAAGTTTATGTTTCATTTTTTAAATTAATGTCATCAATTTTTTAAACTATGCAAGTGTGGAAACTAGTGGAATTAATATTCATTTATTGTGTAGACTATAATTATATTAATTGATGGATTAATTAAACACATATTAGTAACGATTGCTATTGTAAAAATCATTATAGCTTATAAATATATGCATTTACATATATATAAATATAATGGTATATAGTATATATGTATATGTATACCATTGAGTGAGATTATAAAAGCTATATTTAAAAAAAACACGTCTTTTAATTACTAAAAAGTATTAAGCATCTTATATGAGTGTGAAAAAGAGATATCTTATATATTGTACACAGACAATAAAAAAATATATGTGTATATGCATATATGATGTATGGTTTAGTCTTTGATGAGATATAAAATATAATTACTGTTTTACAAAGATATTTACAATAGAAATGTAACTTTCAAAAGTATTTTGAGAATACAATTTTTCACACACACAAATTTTCGCAACTACAAATGTAGATACAATACATGTATCACATGCATAATTACTATTTATTATTTCATATATTATGATTTTAAATGACTCATTATATATTGTTGGTATAATCTCAGTGAAATGATATTTAAGTATATACATTAAAGAGAAATAAATAATACAATTTATTAAAAAAATATAATACTTCGGAATACTTCAATATGTTAATGTAGAAATTATTAATTTATTGATATCTACACTTATACCTGATATATAAAGAGAAAATACAAAACACACAAAAATAATTGAAACAAATAAATTAAGATTGGCTCGTTTTTCCTCTCTCTCCCTTAGAAAAATCTACAGAAAAATATTTAGGCCACTATGAAAATTGTCAAGCACTGGTATTCGTATGATACAGTGCTTAAAGTATATTACTCGTAATAATGTCAAGAAATTCGTTTTCAAATAGCAGAGTTAATTTTGCCCCTAACTCAACTAAAGTTCTAGTCCTCCTCAACTAAAAGTTGATAAAGAATGTATGTATTAAGTACTATCCTATTAATATCAGTGCTTAACGATAATTTTTAGTAGCCTAAATATCCTTATTTAAAAATAACTGATCTACATAAAGCATTGTAATTACAAATTAGTATTATTTATTAGTTTGTATACTCTATATATATTTTATTAAACTACTTACTTAGAGCATAAATCTAGCTAAACAAAGAATTATTATTTTACCCCTTTCTTTCTCTTACCTTGTCTTTTTTATCCTGCCTTGCATAAGGAAAACAAGGAATGACTGCTGTCACTCGAGATGCGGAGGCAATTTTGCAAGCGTTGATCATGATCAGTAGCTCCATTAGATTATCGTTTACCTCGCCGCTTCCACTTTGCACGATATATACGTCTTCGCCACGGACAGATTCTCCGATTTCCACACTAGATACAATTAAATCTTGTATTTTCTCAATATATGAGAACAATATATAGCGTATTAAGGAAAGTTTCAAATTAAAATTTTCGAATAATTAGAAAATATAAGATAAAAATAACGTTATTACGAGTATTAAAATTATTTTCGACAAATGAAAAAATCTATATTAATATTTGAATATTAGTAATGCGTATTACTGAGCGCTCGATGCGAAAAGCGATTATGAAACCTTTCTCTTTTATCAACACATGTGATGTAGCGTATTTCGATCTCGCACTTATTAGTCTCCATAATAAGAGCATAGGTATTCTAAAGTCTGAAAAATTATATCGTGAGTGCACGTGCTTTCACGTCTTTTGTTCGTATCGAGATATTACGGCGCGAATCGATACTTGTGGCACGTGGGAGCATCGAGTTAAACAATCGGAATTTTTCGGAGCGTTCGTTCATTTCCCAAGGAAAATAAATCGCGAAATGTATGAATATCAAGGGAAAAAGTCGCGAAACTCGACGGCTTTCACGCGAGGAGCTCAGCCGAGCGGAAAATACGCGATTCGCGTGTAATGACATGTCGCGATTACATTGCTAGGGTCTCGTGCAATTGGCAGTATACATAACGTGGTTACGGCGGGATAACGTAAGCCATTACCATGTCTCGAGGTTGCTGAATTTCTTCGTGACAACCTTGCCGATGTCGATGCCGAGCCGATCCACGATCCGCTGGGCGAGATCCGGATGCGAGGTCCCGCTGAAGACCTTGATATTCGGCATTCTGCTCTGCAAGCCACGCACACGTGAATTTTCCAAGTTTGCGCGTAACAAACTCTTGGCACGCACTGGCTGCGACACGGGCATCACTGAAACAGAAACCACCGGGACGGTCGACCAATCGTAGCTCGGCGCTTGTACCGGATATGACGTCGCTCGGATCACGCTCCGCCTACGCGCGCGTGATATTAGCGCTAGCGCGTCAGAAGCACCGCGGCCGTTCTCTTATCGCAGCCGATATCCCCGCTTATTTCGCCTTTTGTGTGACGCTTACGAAAATTCCTTATCTCTCTGATAAGGAACGCGATCGAGCTTACGTATTGCGTAAATATATACCGTCGATTGTCGATGTATACATCCGGGCGCGCGCGCTTCGCTCCGTCTCTCGCAAAGGGCCCGTCGTCAATGATCGATAAAGCGACGCGAGAATTGCGTCTTTTGCGCGCTCTCTATCTCTTTCTCTATATCATTTTCTGCCCATCGGATTCTTTTACTCCTTTTTTTATTCATCTTATCTCATCGGATCGGTGCGCAATAGAAACGCGTTTTTATTTCCGATTTTGCCGAGTCGCGCACGTGTTTCCGCTCCCCGCGCCGGATATCCTTCTCGCGTCAAACTTCTCGAGACAATACGCTGCGCATTTTATTTTTATTTGTGTATTTTTTTTTAAGTCTCTCTTTTAACTCTCTATTCGAAATTATTTGACACGGTACATCTAAAATTGGAATCGTCGATATCTCCTCACTTGTTTAGTTTATCAGATATATATGAGGATTCTATATTTCCTAAACGCCTCTGACATTCCTGCGTGTTAATCTTTTTAATAAATCGATGACACACAGATACTATACCCTCAAGGAAACTTTTCCATTCCTTTGCCAGAGTTATTTCTAGACACCATATGTGATTGTATTTCTAGATAGGTATCCTACCGATTGGCGCATACACATGTGACCGCCAAGCTAAATCATCGCGTTGAAAGCTCATGGAATTCGGCGAGGGCGCAGTCGCGCGATGCGACGTGATTCTAGACAAAATTCAAAAGGAGCGGGCGCGAGAACGGGTGACAGTCAACTTTTGCCTTGCCTATCAATGTGGCGCCGGCGGCGCTGATCGCAATGATGATAAATTGCATGTGTATGTAACGCGGCGGCGTGAGTTTCTCGATACAGCTACGGGTTAGGAACGGCGAAGGCTGTTCACGGGGGTGACGGGCAAAATTCGCAGACAGGTTAAGCATCGACGCGAAAAGACGCCTCGTATGTCGCGACGCTGAGCTCCTCGAGAGAACGCGTAATCCACGAGTGCGTTCATTCATTCGTGAGCGACAATGATATCGTGCTAACCGTCCCTACCGATTCGGGAGCCATGGCGAACATCGCGGCGCAGCGAATCAAACGGGAATTCAAAGAGGTTATAAAGAGCGAGGAGGTGAGTGTGCGAAAAGTCGTGGTGAACGCGGAGAGAGAGAGAGGGAAAGAGCCAGAGTTACGAATCTCGATAAACGGACGGTAGATAAAAGCTCGTATCGTGGTTATGCAATCTCTGCGATCGGGAATATTGTACAAAAATGTAATCCTTATCCAGCGATTGAAATATCAATTAGGATAAAAAAATCGCCGATCATCTGTTGTGTCTCGTCTTGTCAACTGTCATCTGTATATTCCGTCTTTTTCAAGAATATCCGATGAGAAAGAGAAAGAGAGAACGCAAATCGGGCATTGGTTGTTTATTGCGTCCAAAATACCTCGCTGTGCTCCTATTATTTTGTTAAAACTATTTTCGTAGCAATTAAATTATTGTGTTTCATGTCAACAAAGTACCATGTATTTATCAATCATAATATGTATTAATGTGTAGTATGCAATAATCTTTTTATTTTATATCTGTTTAAACTATTGAATATAGATTTAGAAATGTACACTCACCATGATGTCTGAGATCTCGCCTGCATTGAGATCCTTTAGTAGTTTTACACTTTTTCAGATTGCTCATTCTGTGTATTCACATGAAAGTTTGTTGCGATAAAATGTATCCACATGTCTCTTCAGGAAATTGAATTATGTCAAGGCATCACAAATGCCATACCATTGACAGTTTTGTGAATTATCACTGAAAAGTCGAGATTTCTCTTATCATGCAAAATGTCATAGGTTATGATCACATGTTTATTGTGAAAATTATTGCGAAATTTATGACATAGAACCATATATTATATAAACTTTACGTAGGAGCATAGTTTAGCAATATGTTTGCTTGCTCTTATAAGTTTTTATCCATGCTGTAATGACATGTAACCATTTTTTATGTTTTTCTCACTGGAAAACAGATGATTGCAAAACAAGTGTCATATATGTATATTGAAACTGTCAAAAACATTCCATTGCTATACTACTATGATTTGAAGTCTTCTTAAGTTTCAATTGTTTTTAAATTTAATATCATTTCCATTTCTAATAATTTTTTCTGCCAATATATATCGATCATTTAATTATAAACTTTTGAAATTACGTTTGTGCAATATAATTAATGTATTTTGTAATATATTTTTATGTTTTAAATATATATGTATGAAACAGAATTTTATAAACATTTTTTTTTATATTTACTTAACAAACTTATAATTTATAATAAATTAATGTTTATAAACTTTGCTGAAATATAGCTATAGCTATATTTACATTTATTCTTTAACTGTAACAAAAAAACGGCCTATCAATTTATTTCTCTAATGTAATATATATTTTAAGCTATTTTTAATCATGTTAACTTGTAAGTATATTAAAAAATTTTGATGTTCCAAATTGTTATATATAGCAAGACTGCAATAAATATTTGTAGCAACTTGATTTTCTAATATTCTATTTACTTGATATTTAATAGATAGCGAAATGTGCGATTAAAGTTGAATTGGTCAACGATAGTCTTACCGAATTAAAGGGTGAAATTGCTGGTCCACCAGATACGCCGTATGAAGGAGGTAATTTTGTGCTCGAAATTAAAGTTCCCGAGACATATCCATTCAATCCTCCCAAAGTAAGTTAACATTTTTGAAAAATTTGTGAATAATACTTATGCAGTTAACATTCATTATTTCTAATTATATTATATACAGTAAAAGAAGTTAAATTATAATACAGATATCATAAACCTATAGCTATTGTTGAATTAATTATTAATTTTTATATCAGTTAGGCTACAGCTATTATTTTATTCCATATAAAAATCAGCAATATGTTTATGTATCATTATTGTCTCTAAGTTTTAATTTCTATTTTATTCTATTAAGCTGTTATAATAAATAAAGTAATTATTATTTATTTATGTTCTTTTCTGAAAATGTAAATGTGATTTAAAAATATTTTGCATTGCATAAATAATAAGATTCTTATTTTGTAGGTACGTTTTATAACAAAAATATGGCATCCTAATATATCTTCAGTCACTGGTGCTATTTGTTTGGATATTTTAAAAGATCAATGGCATGTATTTTCTCCAAATTTAAAAAACAAAAATATAAATATATCATTCATTTTCGTTCTACTTCATGTCAATTCTCATGCTGAATGAAAATATTGTATTTAATTGAGATTTATTAATATAACGTTTTTTATTGTATATTTTATATAATATTAAGACTACAGGGTACAGTTATATGGTAGACTAACTTCATTTTTTTTTACATATTTAAGGGCTGCTGCAATGACTCTGCGTACAGTATTACTGTCGCTACAAGCATTGTTATCTGCAGCAGAGCCTGATGATCCTCAGGATGCAGTAGTCGCTAAACAATATAAAGAACATCCCGAAATGTTTCGGCAAACCGCCACACATTGGACATTTGTATATGCAGGTGGTACGTGATATATTTCTGTGCATACTCACGTTCATATATATATACACATATAGTATTAGGATCTAAATATGATTTATATTGATTTTAGGACCAGCAAAAATGCCTGATTTAGATGACAAGATAAGAAGATTAACAGATATGGGAATTGAAGAACATAATGCGAGAGTTGCTCTATCCTCATATAATTGGGATTTGGAACGCGCTACCGAGCACTGCCTCTTCAGTTAGTGATAACTACATAGTTAATCTGTTACATCCAAGCACCATTCATTTTGTCATTAAGAAGTTCTTGTAATAATCATGTTCGGATATTGATATTATTAGTGGTTTGAGACAATTGGTACTTTGCACCTAAAGTGACAATATCTGATACAAAAAATATCACCAGGCAAGCATTCAATATCCACCAATAGTCATTTATTTAATTTATAACATAGGCATGAGGAATAATTAATAAAAAATCATAACATGAATCAGTTAAATAAATTTCAAGTATTTTTTAATAATATATGGTTTATATTACATTCTACTGAAATTCCACATTATTGCTTAAAAAAATTAAATCTGTTAAATATAACATGTGAGATATCAAATTTAAAATAATATATTTTTAATTTCCTGTATATATACATAAGAAATCACAATATGTCACAAATTTGATATAAATGCATATTATTTCTTTCATGTATTGTCAAATTTTTGTTTTATCAGCTTTCAATGTTCTACATTATCTTGAAATCTTGTATCTATATAAATTTTGATTTTGCATTAAGGATATTGAATTTTCAGTAAAATAAAATTTTAATATACGTATTCTCATGATACTGGATATCAAATGTGTAATTAGATATTTTGATTGCAACTTTTATAATTTATGTTTAATATCAATAATGTGCAAATTTTGCTGATAAGATGCATATTTACATTCTTAATGCAGAGAACATATTTTATCAGAAATAATGTATTGTTTTTCATTTTTTAAAATATAGGATACACGTTTGGATATATATTAATCACAATTTTACAATATTATTAAATCCTTTTTTATGTGTATGTGAAAAAAAAACATTTTTTATTTGAGATAGAAAAATCTATAATTTGAGCAAAAACTCAATTGTATATTATTGAGGTAGTATATGACTTGTAAAAAGATTCACTTAATCGCTTTGATGTTAATATCTTACATTTGTACATTTCTGGTGTGGCTTATATGAGATGGTGAAATTGTCTATTACATCACAGATATATACATGTTTGCGGGTACATATACTCTATCATTCTTTTTATATTCGTATCATGCAGTGTACATTCCAGATTCAGACATAAATGGCATTTATTTATCACAATCTTTGTTAAATTTTATATTACAAAACTTAAAAAAGCAAAAGATTGAAAAAGATTTAAATAAAGTAGCATATTGTGTGTGTTTCTGATCTTTATATTTAATAAAAAATAGATTTAATTTGATAACTAATTTGTAAAAAATCATAAAACAAGAAGAACAGCGTAACTAAGATGAAGAAGAAAAGTTAATTAGCTCATTATTTGTATAATAATGTATATGATGCAGAAATGCATAGTTTTTTGTACAATCAAATGTTAAATCATGTGTGTTATACTAGGAACGGATAAAAATTTAATCATATTTTTTCGCTAATTTGTTGTATTAATTTTCACATAGACTGTTTAGAAATCATAGGTATCAGTCGATTATATAAAGACTGTTTTGCTCTGTATCTTTTTTTTTTTTTTTTGTAAGTATTCAGCTCATAGAATATGATTCTACGTATGAGTTTATGGATGAAATCCGATTTCACCCTTTTTGATGTTTTAATCGCTGTAATGTTCAATATAATGAAAAAATAAATAGTTCTTTTTCATTGTTCTCACTGGATTAGTCTCTTCATACATAGAGAGATCTCCTTTTATTGTATATATATATTTCTGAAAAATATTATTGGAAGAATTTTCTTTTGCTCTAGTTTCATAATCAATATAATAATTTCTCTCCTATTGATATTTTCTTTGTGCGAGATCAATGTGCAATTTTTACATTCCTCTATTATCATTTAATATAATTATATAAAATATCTCAGAGTTTCGAGGAGTTGAGAACATGGATTTTTCTAAAAATTCTTTATACATAGTTTATATATATATATAAAATGGTATATAAAAATAATTCTGTATAAAGTTGCCTTGCCACTGCACAGTTTTTAGTTCCCGAATTACTAAAAATATTTTTTCTGCTAAAAACATTGTTAAACTTAATCTTGAATACACAAATATGACTTAATATTGTACACAAAAACGGAATAAATTAATAGAATATATAATGAATCTAGTTTTATTGTTGGATAGAACATGCATGCAAAAATTTTTTGTGAAAAAAACTTCTTTTCTGATTATATTGTTTTAAAATTATATTACCATTTTTGCAGCACATATTTAATTTTAAAATCTTACACATATTTAGTATATATAACTCTCTAATAAATAAATATTTTTAATATAAAATATAATTTATACATATAATTTATAAGAAAAATTTTAGAAATTATTAAGCATAATATATATTCTTAAATTATAAAAACATAAATCTAACAATTAATAATTTTGTGTGGTTAATCTGAAAATTTTTAGAATTATAAGTATCTCTCTCTCTACATATTTTATAAAATTATATCAAATCAAAACAAAGAATTACAAATATAATATGATAGAACGTATTATGGAAATAATAAAAAATTATAGTTGTGAATAAATTTTAGATATATATTTGTCTTTTTAATCAATTAAAGAGTTTTTGTATATATAATATTAATACAGTACAAAAAAAGGAAGTATGTTTAACAAATCAGTCTGTCTTAATATTATACGAAAAGACATAATTGTCTCTCGCGCAAAGTATCACACGCAGCAAGTGGCAAGAGGGGATTATATATTATTTTGTATATTTGTACTTTATGTTAATTGTCCATAATTATATAGTCTAAGCCTTTTTGCAGAAAGTGTTGCTAAAAATAAATAATTGCTAGCTTCAAATGAACATAAATCCAAAACAGCATCTGATACAGGAAGACTATGCAATTGTTTGCCGCTTGCTGTACTCCATAATGATATATTACTACTTGATTCTATATGTGCCGCAACTAACGTATCATTTTCTGCATATAAGTGACATGGTCGAGATAAAAGATGTTGAGAATTACCAGCTTGGAATGTATGTACAGCATTACACATAATTACTTCTTCATTAGATAAATTTTTTTCAATAGTACACACTACATGTCTTGCATGTGGTTGCCTAGCATTAGGACGAGACGATATAAGATAATGATGATTTCTCTCGTCATAACGTACTGAAACAAAGGGACCTTCTAAAAATACCTGCTTGGGTAAATATATAGAGTCTTTAATTTCATATGCATAACATGTATGAAAACGACACGCTATAAATCCACCCCTACTAATACCGCTACCAGGATTTGGTAGTACTGTTGCCATTGATACAACTGGCGACCTGTCACCATAACCATCTAAGACACTAACAGCACCAGAAGTTTGTCTGATATCAAATTGAGTAATGGATCCATTCTGTGCACCGGTTAGGAAAATGTGTGGATTATCACCCGACCAACAACAACTCCAAAGTTGATGTTCTGTTTGATACGTGTGCACTGTCATATTATTTTGGATATCCATTAGCTTTGCACATTTATCAAAACCAACACTCAGAAGAAGCATTTGTTGCGTAGGATGAAAAGTTACATCTCTTATGGCCTGAGTGTGTAAGAAAATAAATTGCCGTAAATGGAAATATTCACAATCAATCTTCCTTATGCCATATCCATTGAACAGTACATTTGTTGATTTCTGAGAAACGGCCAAAAATTTGTGCCATGGATTAAAATCTAAGACACGACATCCACCCTCTTTACAGATCTCTATAGATCGTTCTAGATGAAACTTTTTAGTAGAGGGACTCAAAGTATTTTGATTTATATGAACATCCATCTCCGATTGTTGACTTTCCAGTTCAGAAATGCGTTTTTTCATGGAAGCCATTTGCTGATCAAATACTTTCAGACGGATATCATACTGTGATAATTCCATCTGTATACGGTTTTTTTCAGCTGATACATGAAGTAATTCTTTCTTCAGTTTGTCATATTCTGCAGTATCTAGCGCTGTCAGTTTTTTTGCATATAACATTCTAATATGTTTTACTGAAGCTTTCTTGTTGCATTGTGGACAACGACGATTTGTACTATTACAAGAATATTGTAGCCATCTTAGAATACAACTATGTCCAAACAAATGTCCACAGCGTAAACAACATAAACGATGTTCCCCTGAGCTAGTCCATTGCTCCATGCAAATTGGGCATGCTTGATCAGAGTCAATATCCGAGACATCCAAATTTTGGTCTACTGTATTTGCTATGAATTTAATTATATTTAAATGAAAATATAAATATATATATCTAACAATTATTACTTTCATAATATGATTATCATTCAAACGTACTTGATTGTGAACTGTTAGTTGGAACATCATTTTTATTATTATCTTGCACATTATCTTCATTATAAGAAACATGTTCATTTTCATGTTCATCCTCTGCAGTTTGTTGCTCTTCTATTTGCATTGTATTTTCGTCTATAATAAAAAAATAATGTTATCAGAATTTAAGTGGAGTTTGATTCTAAACAAAAAATATTAAACATGGAAAAAGAGAGAGAGAAAGAGATGACTTGCGTTTTTAAATTATATAATTATTAGTTACGTATATAATTATTAATCTATAAACATATCCATTCTTATTCCATTTATATATATATTATTAATATATTATTTATCTTACTTACTGTTTTCCATAACCTTTATCTTATAATCGAGATTGATGGCACAAACATCGACAGAAGAATGAGCCGGTCGTAAAATATTTATGTAGGCAAGGATGGTAAATCAAATTAATTAATTATAATTAATTTTCTTTATTTTAAGATTATGTTCTCCTTAATCTCTATTCTAATGGCACATCACAGCGCATTGGCTATATACCTATTCCATTTTAACTGACAATGCGCGTGTTCTATATGAATGAAAGTATATACTTGACTTCGTGAATTTAATGGCACTGGACGACATAGAATCTCGAATGATTTTTCAATAGTAATTTTTATATCGGATTTTTTGTAAAAAGCTATCTTATTGCGAAAAGAACGTGGAAAATGAGATATATACTGCATTTCGATAGAAAACGGGAACTTCAAAAGAATACCTTATTTGTTTTTACGTACTATTATACATCGCATGTATATATACCTACGAATTTTTTATCGATTTATTATTGAAATAATATTACTGATATAAATTTACTTAATTGCTTGAAAGAGAGAGAGAGAGAGAGAGAGAGAGAAAGATATCATCATCAAGTATATATCCTGGAGTAAAATAAAAATAGTTGACGTACGCATTGCATATTCAGTGAAAAGAATTCCGAAATATTTTGAAGTGAGTAAAATATATAATGACATTACATGATATATTTAATTTCTTTTTATATTTAATATATTATATATTTTACAATCTTTCTTTTTGATAAAGTCACGCAAAAATACTTTCAAATATATTCAAATAATTATCTTTCTCTCGGATGCAATTTGACAATATAATAATATGTAACTTCATCACGGGAAATACCGAAGAATTTGTAGGTTGCTCGCACTATACATACAATATTATATTATATTTTGAGGTCGACCAAAGAACGATTTTAATACGAAGGTAAAAATATGAAGGTAAAATTAATGTTATTGAATAAAATATTTACGTGTTTTCTTTTTTTACATATAAAAATATGTGATTATTCTTGAAAATCTGTATACATGGTGCCTTATCTCAAAATGTATCAAACCTCTTATGATATATATCTTACAACATATTTAGGATATTCCAGCAACTCTATTTAAAGAGTATGATGATATAAAATAATTAAATATATAAAATTTTCTATTGCAGAAACCACGGCCGCATACAAAAAGCCACTCCCCTTCACAAAAATATTCCTATACGCACGAACATTTTCCGATTAGGGCGAGAAGCATTTATGATTCGAAGGGGCGAAATTCTAAACGGAGCTACTCAAAACTTCAGCAAAACAATAAATGTTATGGCACTACGTCGTGTTTGAAAGAGGATGCGTTTGGTTCGCTGGAATCTCTTTTCGATCTAAAAAAATCTTTGGATTTGCGCGATGTGTATCCATTAGCGTCCAATATCTGTAAAGAAAAATTATTCAAAGTTTCTAATACCACAAAATCAGAACCTCTTATAGAAACGCTATTTTTGCAATCTTTCTCGCAACAGACAAATCCTGACTCTTATATTTTCAAACCGGTAATATGTTATTATATCATAAAAAAAAAAAATTGCTTTCAATCTTTAAATATTCGATTATTTTATATTTCTGTTGAGGAAGAATTAATTTTACATCGGCTAAAGAATGTATATATATCATTAAAGAATAATAAAATAGAGATGAGATGTGCTTGTATGCTTCGCGTAATAAAATAAGATTAACAATCTTTTCAGTATAAAGAATATGAGACAACAAAAGAAGAGAATGTAAAAAATCAGATAAAAGCAAGTGAAAAATTTCAGACAAAAATATCGAAATCTGTGCGGAAATTACAGCAAAACGATTTAATTTACAACCAACAAAATAATTCAATGTAACAATTTATTTATTCCCGTAGCATTTTTATATCCAATCAATTAATATTCTAAGATAATAATGTATCTAGCAGAAATATGGCCGAAAATGAAATAGTAGACAACGAAATATCAGAAGAGCAATTTGAAAAGGAAAAGGAATCAGTAGCTATCGCAGACGAAGCACCTATTACAACAACAGATCTTACCAAAGATAAAAATGAAAATAAAAATGAAGATAAAAATGAAGATATAAATAAAGATATAAATGAAGATAAAAATGAAGATAAAAATGAAGATATAAATGAAGATAAAAATGGAGATAAAAATGAAGATAAAAATGAAGATAAAAATAAAGACGAAAGTGAAGACAAAGACAAAGGCAGAGTTGAAGAAGATAAGACTGATAACAAAGACGAAGATGAAGATAAAATTAATGAGAAGATTGAAGGTAAAAGCGATTTGAGAAAAAAATTCTTATCTTATTTTAATCCATCGAAAAATATATATTTTAATTGTTTGGAATAGAAATATATACATCTAATACAAAATAATAAAATTTAATGAATTTGCAGATAATCAGATACCAATAATCAGCTCGCCTTTTTTAACTGATGATATAATTACAGAACTAAAAGAAATGGATGAGAGATGTATTATATTAGCAAAGGAGATCCAAAATTTAAAACTTGAAGTTCTCGAGTTATCAAATGTACAATATTTCATTGTTATATATTTAATATAAAAGATTATATTAATTAATAATATTTATAATTCATTCTCTTAAATTTACAGAAACCCGAACTAACAGAGGAAGATACATTAATAATTCAAGAGAAGCAAGATATCCTCATGTCAAAAGTAGCTGAACTCGAACAGCTGACACAAAAACTTGAAAAAGTATTATAAAAATATATGTAGTATAATTTTGATAAAAATTATTTTACACATAATTGTATTTTTGCGATAAGTTGGCGCAAAACATGATTCTGTAATAATCTTTGTAGTGAAATAAGATAAAAGTGTAACATAATGGATATACATATTACAGGCGCGAGAAAAAGTAGAACAAATTGAGGATTCAAGCGGCGAAATAGAAAAAGTTATAGAGGAAGTTAAGAAAGATAAAATAGACATAGAACCGCTAAAAAAAATTCCGGAGGAAGATCGCTTTGAATTACCGCAAATAGAATATCCCGAAGATAAGTAAGTTAAAAACGCTATTAATTAATCGTGAGATATTTTCTATCATGTATTTTTGTCGCGTGGAATCAGGCTGCCAAGAGTAATTGTTTGCGGCTATACGGAAGATGTGCTTCCAAAAATTGTCATAGCAGATGGCGAGCGAAAAGGGAGAGAAAAGTGTTTTGAAAAATTAACTGGAAAACTAACAGAATCTTTAACAATGCAAGAAAAGTTGGTTAAGGAAAATGCACAACTGGAAGGTGGAAAGTATGCTCATTTTTTGTATATCATAAAGTCTACACGAATATAAAAAAAAATGGATTATACTTCGCATGTGAAAAAAAGATCGTATCTACACTTATACAAAATTCATATCTATAAATAGAACTATAGATATTTACTATAGATAAAAAGATAGAAATAGTTTAATATTTGATTATATCGGGTAATTTTATAGTAATGTACATATGTGTAGAAAAATTTTTTTACTTGAATCTTAGATGAAAACCTACATATTGAAAAACAAACAAATTTACATTTAGAATTGAATATAATTTAAGATAATTATATATTTAAAAATAAAATTAAAATAAGAACAATTTTCCCGATCAATCTTTTCAGAAAAAGTATTTTTCTAAAAACTTTTATAGAAACACAGTTTATAACAAATTTTTTTAATACTCGATAGTTTTATTCATGTGGCGAACAATGCAACGAATAGTAGAAAGTCGAAAAAATGTTTGAAAGTTATACCGTTCCCTCGGCGACGATTTCACGATGTTTTCAGATATTGAAGCATGTCAATTATATGTCACTCATACGTAACCCGATATACTGATCTCATAACAATGAATTAAATGTGCAATTTGATGATTATTTTATTCTTAAAGAAAAATTTTATAACATTTTGATTAAATACTTTTTATTCCCGTCCGACTTTAAAGTAAAGCAGACGGAAGATCACGACTATATATGGAAAGCCGTGTTTTTCCGTAAACAGGTACAAGCTAGAAGAAGCCTTGCTGGAAAAAGATACAGCCCTCGAGTGTTTACAGAGGAAGGTATGCGCTCTGCAAGCAGAAATGCGTATAATTGTCAAAGAGAATACGGAGTTGAGCCGTCAGTTGGCCACTTTGAATCAGTTAGTGATTAGACCTACCTGCTGTTACACCTGCCCAGGTGTTGCTTCGTCTCCTCCATCGACGCCGTTGTCGTTACCACCCCGTCCGCATGTCAGTACGCAACCTCGGGACGACATTTACTGCCGATGCAAATATTGCCTTCAGTTCATTGATACTCTATCACCGACTACGGAAACCGCATGCAGTAAGACAGCGTATAACTATCGAATACATGTAGTTTGTCAGTTGAGAAATAATTCGATATAGAAGCCGAGATAGTCTATAATTATGTTAGAAAGTTTGCGAAGGTTCTTGATAAATTCTTCCAGTAATCTGAGTATTTAATCTGTAGATTCACCAAGGCTTACAGGAGGTGGCTCGAGAACGGAGGATCGTTATTTCGTAGATAACAACCCCTTGCAAAACGTGGAGATGTGTTCTCGCGGTCCGGCTATTGTTAGACCATCGTTTCCTCGGGGAATGTGCCCTGCAGAATTGGAAGATAAACTCGCTACTTACGGTTCTAGCACTAAACAACTGGTAAATCTTAAGAATTGTATAAATAACTATGATTTTTTTCAGGATAGTAAGTCAAGAACGATCTGAGAAAAGTAATAGAAAATTTATTTTTTTTTTAAACGCTATTTAAACATTTTTTATAAAAGATAATTATCGTACTTCTAGAGATATATTTTCTATTTCTTTCTTTTATAATTTAAATATATTCTCTTGTAGCCCTGTTCACGTATCAGTTGCATAGGATAGTAAAATATATATAATATATATTCTATAGTAATGTTTACCGTATAAAAAAAAATTAATCGAGAAAATCTAGAGATACGATATCACTTCATTTTATAACTTTTTTAGGAACAACAGTTAGGCAGTATGGAGACTGAGGTACGCAATATGCAAATGGAATTAGCGAACGTGCAACGGGAGCGGCAACAACTGGAACAACAACGAAAATTGCTCAAATGCACTGGACCTTGTGCACCATGCGCTTGTTGTCCACTTCCACCCTCGACGTGTGTGACACCCACACCAGGACTTCCATTAAAAGGATCTGCTGTGCCTCCCGCTCAGATACCTGTACAGTTCTCCGATTTTTTTTTATTTATATTCTTTAAGCGATTCTCGTGTTTCGAACAATACAAGTTTCTACACACATTTCATTTTGTTGATATATTTCTATAATTTATATCCTACGACTATATAGTTTGCATAAGTAAAAGCCATGAGATTTCATTATCTTTCGTTTTTTTTTTCATCTCATCATACGAATGGATAATAAAAATTTATTAGATAGCAAGCAAAGTAATACATTTTTTATCGAATGTAGACGACTGCAATTGATTCCGGTACAAACGCCGCCATGGTAAGGACCTAATGGAAAGAAAATTTAATTGAACATTTTGAATAAAGTCACAATAGAATATCTATAATCATAGGGCACTCAACAATTACGCGATCTTCGCGAACAATACGCTCGACTTCAGGATGATTATAAGAACAAATTATGCGAGGTATCATGTATGAGAACAGAAGCAGAGAAGTTCAAACAGGATACGCGCGATGCAAAGGAGGAGAAAGAACGAATGGAGATAAAACTGATAGATGCCCAAGAACGACTGAAGCTTCTAGAAACAGAAAAAGGAAAATTTGAGGGTAATATTTTTTCTTTTATAGAAGGAGTCTACCTTTTTTTAAATTTTATTTTAAATGTATAAAATGCAAATATTATTTTCGAAACAGGTCAAAAGGAACAACTTATCGAACAGGAACAGGCTTTAATGGTGGCGAAACAACGCTTTCGTGAAGCGCAGGATGAGTTAGAGGAACTTCGTTCTTTGATTCAAGATCAAGCTGCTCAACTGGAGGATTATCGCAATAAATATTTGCAAGTCGGTGTTGTTATCCTTGCGATTTACCAGCTAAATTTTATCCGACTTAATTACTTTCGAGCAAAACAATTTTATAAAATTGAAATCAATCTAATCAAAATAGGCCCAGCAACAAGTTGAAGAACAGCGTCGACAACTAGATCTTATGGAAATGGATAATGCGCGAATGAATGAAAATGTTACTTTGGAAATTGGACGGGTTAAAGTATGTTAAACATTAATATTATTGGAATTTGTTTGAAATCATTTAGAACGAAATTCTCATTCTATATATAAATGTATGTCAACGTGATAGAATCAATTTCAAGAAAAATTAGCCGAACTTGCACCATTACCCGATATCTTGAAACAAATGCAAATAAAGATGCAGGAAGCGCAACAGATGCGCTTAGGCGCCGAACGCAATTGCGAGGATTTGTCGCGGGAATTGCTAGGATGCAAGGATAAGATTCAAACTTTGCAAAATCAGTTGGACGCGTTGCGCACTGAGCATCAGGCACTTCAGGTTGTAATTTATCAGCTTAATAAAAAAATTCAGTATTTTTAATGATAAATGATCAATCGCTTATATAGGATGAAAGAGAACAAGAATCCGCTAAATTCGAAGAAGTGGAAAAAAAGTGTAGCGAATTGCGACATGAAAATGAGAGAATAAAAAACACATTGGCGCGATTTGAGGAACACGAAGCACAGTTACAAAAACGCATCGACGAGAAAATGCATGAGAACACGCAATTATCGTCAATGTTGGAGCAGGTATGTTACATGTATTTATCTCGTGATGAAGAATTGAATTTCCTTTTGATTTAAGATAAGAGAGGATTCTGCTCGGCAAGTAGCGAGAACGAAGGAGCGATGCGAAACTATGCGAAGATCGATGCAAGGTCAGATCGCTGAAATGGAAAGACAATTAGCACAATGTAGAGCAACGGCGCGCGCTGCTCAACGTGATAGAGATGAGGTAACGGTTGCCGTTACGAGATAAAAATTTTAACAGGAGCAATGATATATTTATCACAACCTGCTTTTCGTTAACGTATATAGATCAGACAAAAGATGCAGAGTCAAATAAATAATTTGAACGAGGCGTTTAAACACGCGCAAGGCCGCATAAAATCCTTACAAGGTCACGTAAATTACCTCAAGACTTCTTACAGTAATATTTTTCTCGGCCAAGGAGAAACACCGACAAGTGCTTTGCCAGGAGACGATTCCTGTGATTGCAACTATTAAACGTGTATACACATATAACTTTTGAATAATAATTATATATTTTTGTTTAACATAACGAAATTAAAGTATGCTATTTGCTCATAGCATACAAATCTTGTGCAAATATATTCTAAATAATGACATTCTAATAAACAATTGACAAGATTGATTGATAATTGTTATACCATCATCATTTTTATAAATATATATGTAAATTATGAACGGTATATAAAATATAAAAAGTAAAGTCAAGATCTATGTATATTCACTATATAGTAATTGTCGATTTAATTACTTCAATGTGCATTTATTTTACAGATTAATTTTTGGATATAGAAAATACTATATAAATGGATATAACGAAGCATTAAGTCATTAAAAACTTTAACGAAAATTGGCATGCATTATTGTTAGAGATGTACATATTGAATGTACATATTGAATGAACGTTCCTTTTTCATTACATATGTATTTTTATTTAACAAACTTTGACTATATTTATAAGCATTGGAGTAGAAGAACGTGGCATGTGAGTACTGTAATAATTGATTAAAGAAAAAAAGCTGAAAAAAACTTTCCATTTCTACTCGAAATTCTTCCAGCTGAGATTCAATCCGCTGTGCATAAGCATGGCAGCATCTGTAAACCAATTTAAAACGATCCTAATAATAACTTAAGTATTTTATGTGTGTATATTAATTTTTATGAAAGCACAAAATACCAAATTTTTGCTAACAAAAATTGATTATAAATTTTATGAATAATAATGCTACATATTCACATATTGCTATATATAAATCTGCAAAATTGCATATAGATTGCAGAAATTGTTGGGGAATATTTGTGTACAAAAACACACCTTCCAACAGGTTGTCCTGGGTTTGAACATGATGGTTCCGGAGATGTACATGGCGAAATTTTGATTTGTGAAGGACCACTCGTTAAACAAGATTCCTTCTTGTGAATACAACTTTTATTACTATTAGATGGATTGGAATTGTAACAATCTCCGCATCCTCGCAAAAGATCCATTAAAATTCCTCGTACCTTTTTCCCAGTTAACCTTCGTCGTCTCGTCTATGAAAGAAGAAAATATATGTTAGTTATAATCGTAAATCCTTATAAAATATTGAAATAGAATTATCTGCAATTTACCTCTGGTGTTTCACTACATTGTTTTAATGCTATCAACGGTTGTTCTTCATGTACATTAGGAGAAAGATGATTACATGATTCGTTATACTCTCGATCTGTATTCATTGATAATGGCTCGCATGTACAAGTTCCTTTCAACGTATTACAATATTTATGACTCTCTTGACAAGTTTCTCCTGGATCATGTAGTGTGTCATGACATACCGTGTGACATTTACATGTAGGTTCTTCTGTAGCAGGATTAATATTTTTATGTAAATGCTTGTTAGGTTCTAAGTTTCTTGAAAAACTTCGGCGATGTTCCTTGGTGCTTAATTTTTCTTTGCTACGATTAAAATTATCTTCAAACTTCTGTTTTTCTTTATGTAAGGAACAATTCTGCTCTAACATGTCTACATTATGAATGCAACAGGAATGTAATTTCTCTTGGCTACGTGTTTGTTTATATGTTAGCCATTCTTTACGATCTTTTGACAATTCACAATTTTCACAAGAAGAAACACATGCGTTTGGGCTAAGTAGATTGTCCACATAGTTTTTATCTGTTGAACAGGACGCTTTTGCCATATTAAACGAAGGTGAATGTGCACATGAAAAATTAGATACAGCTGAAGAGAGGTCAAATGCAGGGGGAGTTTTGCATTTTTTACTTGTTGAACATACTAAATTACTGCCATTAAATCTGGTATGTGGTGTCTTTTGCCAGCAGTGATACTTCTTATCATCTATCCCTTTAGTCGATGTTTCTATTTCATTTTCAGTTTCAGCTGTAGATTCTTGGCTGATCTGCAAAATACATTTTAGAATAAATATGAGATACAAGAATATCTTAGAATATATGTGTATATCTTCTAAAATAATTTTATAAATTATATAATATAATTTATAAAGTTACTTACTTCTTTGCCCCAAATGTTGATTGTTCCATTTATTTCAGACATTCTTACTTCTATATTACCAACTATGTATGGACCACCTTCTCGTCTTTTTTCATTAACAGTCTTATCTTTTGTAGGTTCTTTTGCTATGATTAGAAAACTATGATCTTTACTATTTTCATTTTCGTGATATACAAAGCATTTCACATTATCCTCTTGATCATCAGCATTTTCCGTTATGTTTTCTGTCATAGAAGTAGTTTCTAATTGGCTTGTGTTGATATTAGATGAATTTTCCTGTGATTCCACTTTCTCATTTACTGAATTGCATGGATGTTTGAACTGTGAGTCATTGTGCATATCATTTAATTTTAGGTGTGATTCTGCAGTAGTTTGGGAAGCTTTGCAAGATAGAGAATTAGATGGTTCAAGAATATCCGCAATCTTCCTTTTCTTAGAGCTAGATGGTCGACAACTACCATTGACGATTTGACATCTACCATCATCATTTTGCAGCTCTAACATTGTATTCTCACTTAATCTTCTCTTTGAATTTTGTACTAGAGGACTTTCTAATTTTGTTTTCCCTTGTGTAATATTTGAAAGAGTTTGTAAAATTCGAGACGAAGTAATAAACGTGCGAGACAGTGAACGTGTTGTTTTTGCTGGTGTACCATTGGTCAACACTATACTATCATCAGAATGTAATGCTTTTACTACTTCAGGTGGTTTCATAGATATCGATAAATTAGCACTGTCACTCCACTCTATAGAGCTTAGTGTTGAGGCGACACTACTACCTAATATTTTATTGTTAGATTGCTTTATGTGTGTCGATTCTGTTTCCTTATGGTATTTTTCAGGTGCAGTGTCAATATCTGTTTGAATTGATATTTGGTGTTTCTCAGGTGTGATGTCAATATCATCTGTTTGAACTGATGCAACTTTCTGTTCTTTAGCTACATATTTTGCTAAAGATACACTCAGCTGTTCTATCGTGCCTTTCAATAATAAATTCTCGATAACTTGTTCTCGAAATGCGTTAAACAACCTTTCTTTTTTCTGAATTACGTCACCTAATTGATCTTTTAATGCGGTAATTTCCAAAGTATCTGGAGCTGTCTTACTAAATTCATTTACTTTATCTGAGTTTATTTGCTCGTTATTATTTTTGGCTTCATCTGCCATTGTCTTAATGCTCTTAATATTCTCAATTTTTAAGGAACAAGTTGTATCATGATTATCTATGGACACATCCATCAGTTCTGCATTATTGTATGTTTCAGATTGATTATGTTCTTGCTCAGTAACATTTGAATTCTTATTTAGATTAATTTTTTGACTAGAATTAGAAATGCCATGCTTAAACTCCTCACAACTTAATGTACGCAAATTGAAAAGTACTGTTGGTTCTTCTTGATGATCATTTGAGACAAGAGATGGTTGCATGGCATTCGCATAATGTGAGACTTCCTCATCAGAAAAATTAAGCTTTAATTGTTTATCTTCAATTGTTCCATTCTGTTTTTGCATTTTATCTAGAATGTTTACAGAATTTCTCTCATTCTGTGTAGATTCTTCCTGTATTGATTCTAAATAATTTTTATTATCTTGACCATTTAATATTATTGGAGAAGTACTGTAAGTTATTTTATCTCCCTCACACGCTTCTGCAATTTCCAATTCTTTAATTGTTCTTTTCGCATAATCCTTTATTGTCTTGTTGGTTATTGTAGGCTTTATCTCTTTTATATCGCTGTTCTTATGATTAGTGTTACTTTTACTATGGTTTGTATCTTCCTGATTTTGCTTCATATGTTTTTCCACAGAACGTCTATTTTGTTCTTTTATATCTTTAATATAGAGTTTGACTTTGCTTTGTACATGATCATACCTTTCTAACGTTGGTTGCTTTCCATACAACACGGGATATATTTCAGGATCTATTTTTACCAATTGTTTATATGGAGTATATTGCCTATGTGAATATCTTCTTTGAATATATTCCATTTTCTTCTTGGACATATTCAAGTCTTGAAGAGAAAGGCTCTTTTCTTTGTCACGATTTTTTATTCTTCTATTTAAGAGAAAATCATCGGATCTTCCATCGTAATGTAATTCAAAATTATCATCAAAGGTACCATCATCATTGCTATATATTTGTCGAAAATCTTTTTCATCATCTTTTTCATTTTCGTCATCCTCATCATCATCTTCTTCATCCATTAAATGCCTCATGTTATTTGGATCTTCTGAATCCATATCGTTGTCAAGCTCCAAATTCTCCATATCTATATATAGGCAATACAATAATTATAATTATATATTAAATATGTATATATACATACACATATATACATTTATATAACATTAATGATTATATTATATCATAACTTTATAAAAATATTAAGTTCAAAAAGTATATAATTTTACACTGATGTTTCAAATATACAGAATATTAGCTATTTATTTGATAATGTAATATATGCTAAGATAAGCTGATTTAATCCTGTCATTCTACATATTAATTTACCATCACTATCACCATATTCATCTTCGTCATCTTCATCATTGTAAGGATGCTGATCGGTATCTTCTTCGGATGACAAAACATACACGCTGCTTGCTGCTTGATCGTCACTAGGATAAGGACTTGGACTACAATCTTCCTCCATCTCCTGGGACATATTCTCCTGCTGCTTCGCGTTAATGACGTCTGAGTCGTCGCGTCTCGAGGTGCTGGAGACGCTGATATACGTCGGCATCTCCTCGTCCTCCAGCATGGCCATCTCTGTTCGATTCATCAATTTCACCTCGCTCTTGGACGAATCGTTAGGTAAATCCTCCATCGCCTTAGTCTCTGCCTCGTTGTCGTCGGGCGGGTGTTCGCTGTTCTCCGACATCGTGGAAAGCTACGAATGAAGGAATATCACAGATATCTTAACAACCACAGAGAACTCAACACAATCACGATGATATTTATTCCCGATCGATTCATATGCCGGACCGGCGAGTTTACATGGCGCGTACGATGGAAAAGACACTTTCATCAGCCGCCATTACACGGAACACTCTAGGTGATATATCTTTCTCATAATATAACACGAGAGACAAATTGCATCAACGATTATTCTATATTGTATCCGCGAATAACGTTCGAATGCTCTTACATTTAAGGCGAGCTGCAAGTGGCACAGATTTGTATACTAGATGAAGTTTTTCAATACCGAGCCATAATCTTCGAAAGATTAATGACCTGCATATCGCAGGACTGTACGTACGATACAAAAACCAAGTGATCGCATTTTACGAGTTTGTTTGTCATTTTCACGCCGATAATCGATAAATCCCTAAATCAGCATCGTTTGAACAAATTTATAGTCTAATTCTCGGACGACATAATTTTATTTCTATGCGCATTACGTGAAAAATATCTCACCGCGAATACATATCGAGATTAACGCCACTGTCGCGCATGCGCATGCCGACAAATGTAGAAAATCGCACGAAAACCCTTTTCTGATTTTGTTTTATTGCAACAATCGATCCTGCCTTAACATACATATATACATGTATGATTGAGAATTCGTAGCGCATGTTTATTCTCTTTTTTTTTTTTTTTTTTTTTTTTTTTTTTTTTTTTTTTAATTCTACATTGACGATCCCGTAAACGCGCGGAGCACGCAATAAACAGTGGAAACGTCGGCGTGACGTTCACCGCGTCGAAAGCGCCGATCATTGTTGGAACACGCTGCAAACGTGCGCGCGGAAATCTGATTCTAACCTCGAGAGTATCTTTCGACGATGTCTTCGAGCGTCGCTGGACTATCTCTCATCGTTGAATTTGGGTAAGATGAAAAGAATGATGAAGGTTGAAAAGATGACGTCTATATAAATATATATGTATCTTATCACCGTCGAAAAACGAAACGATAAATCACCGCCATCCTATGTTTGCAGGGGTGGGGCGGAATTACTATTCGACAAGAAAAAGAGACACGAGCTGGACTTACCTGGAAATGAATGTAAGTACGCCGCGTTGAACAGATGCGCGATCTAATCTATCCTCCGTTAATGATATGAAAATCCGCAGGGACCTTGAAACGATTGCTGTTCTGGTTACGAGATAACCTCCTGACGGAGCGGCCGGAGCTCTTCATGCAAGGTGATACGGTGTAAGTTTACCCTCTCGATTATATATCCTCGTGTTCGTTATATCCGTTCGAGCTTCCGACATCCCCGTTGACGAGCTCGTGATATCGCAATGTGATTATTCGCAGCCACGTACGTACTACGCATGTAGTAGATACTTTGTGACTCGATCCGCCAAATCAACCGATATCGTGAACTAAAATGGCGACCTAGTTGTTTATTCTCGATAAGACCATGGATAAGATAGATGTCGACACTATGGCCGTGTTCTAAAATTCACTGCCAGAGAGATAGAACAGAGTATGTCCTTTTCTACGTGCACCTCGGCTCCCACTCCTCAACACTCGGTCTAGATATACTATGTCTATGCTATGAACTATAGATTTCTAGTATTGGCAGTGAATTTTGGAACACAACCTATATTTAATTTGCAAGTTTATTTGGTATAGAGTAGCGCTTGATCGACCAATCAGGACTGCGTTCCGATATTAACTGCCAGTACTGAAAACGTATAGTTTACGTCACGTACACTATAGATTTTCAGTACTGGCAGAGAATATCGGGACGCAACCTAGAGGGAGCAAGATTTCTTCGTCCTGATTGGTCACCCGAACGCTACTGTACCGGATGAGTAGATTTTCGAACTCAGTCAACGAGGGAAAACGGAAGAGTTTGTATTTGAGCAGCGTTGATGTTATTTGCTTCTCGTACGAAAAACGCAATAATGTTGTCTCAAGTTGAGAAGATCAGTCAGTCGTATTTAGCATCAAATGTGGACATAAATATGGTAAACACAAAGTTATTAAATGTAAGAAATTTTTTATTCTTGTACTGCTGACTGATCATATTCGTCGAAATGTTTCTGTATATTTTATCTCAATCTGTGTATGATGGCCATAACATTCAAGAATAATATAAATAAGAGAGAAGAAAAGAAAGTTCATGAGAAATATATAGGCGGACATCGGCAAAGCTAAGCATTAACGTCATTAAAGTGTTCGAAAAATAATAGTATAATGGACATTGTAAAGTACTGTAATTGCGCGTATCGATGGCGTGAAGTGCGATCACATCAATAGTGACGTATGCGTGACGTATCGATCAGCCATATTGAAATTTCGCATTCGTCGTTATGTTTCGCGCGGTAAAGGATCGCTGGAGTTTGTTCGCTTCTTGTTTCGTTAACTTTCGTCCGTTTCATTAATTTTTGTCCGTTTCGTTAACTTTCCGTAATTGGGAGAGAGAGCGTTAATGCGAAATTCGTAAGTTTTTAATATACAATACGCGTTAGCTAGCTCTGTAGGAAAATTGCGTAACTCGATTTAAGAAGTTTATCTTGTTTGTTGTAGGAGGCCGGGTATTCTGATTCTGGTAAACGACGCCGACTGGGAATTGTTGGTGAGTGTTTGTTGTATTTCTGTTGAATATTTTCACGAACAAAAATGTTTGTAAGAGACGATAAGAAAACTTATACAATATTATCGTAAATCTTGAAATATTTGACCAAAAAAATCTCGTGTAATATATATGTATATTATATGTATAGTTATCTTTTTTAAATCATAGGATGTTTTTAACCACACTTCTTTGAATTTGGAATAAACGTTTTTTTTTTTAATGAAAATGTCTACAAAAGTAACTGTTTGATATGAAAATTAATATGAAATAAAATTGATATGAAAATATTTTTTTTATATAAAAATCGAAGAACATTATTTTTTAATTATTATTACTACTTAATATTTATTTATAATTTAATTTATTATATGTTATCTATGTATTAATTAATTAAGAAATTAATTTTTTTACATTTTTTACAAACGGGATACATGAAAGTTATTGCAATATTTAATATAGAGAGAATCATCAACTTTTATGTTGCATATATATAAATTATAAATAATCATAAAATAACGTTACTATAAGGGACATAGAATAAATCAAAAATTATTTACTTGTTAGACTTTTTATATATTTATATATATATAATAATCGTTGTTGAAAAAATTCTTAAATTTATTTTAGCATTTGCGTTTTTTATTGTAAAATTAAGCAGTCTTGATTTATTTACAACCTTATTATTATTTAATATTATTATTTAAACTTTTGATTACAGACGAGTTTTTATGTATGGATTTTAAAAGTATATTAGAGTTATTATAACTTCATTTTTCTGAAGGAAATTTTTCAAATACAGATTTAAATACCTAGCGAGAATGACAGACGGATTTAAATTCGAAAAGGATTTGAATAGACTATTCAGCTATGCGATTCTTAAGTCGTCATACTGGTACGAAAAGTTAATGCACCATGTTCGGCGAACGGATCTTTGAAAGAGACGATATTTATATTCTCAGATTTTTCTAGAATTATTAAAAATATATTAATAGAGAAAAAATACACATGTTTAAATGTTAACATATTTAAAGAGCGACATTTATTTATATATGTGCGACGTGTTTGTTTAAAATTTCATATAAGCTTGCTTGCGTAAATGATCGAGTGGTTTTAATATTTATTTTGTTTATATAATTTTCTGTGCTTCATCACTTCTCTTTTACATCACATGTTTAAAAAAGAAATTATAATTGCGAAATCATATGGTAAAACTACCTATCTTTGTTTACTTTTTTCAACACAGAGTTAACATTTTAATTGATGTTTTTTGCTGAGTAAGAGCTCTTTCTGAATTTTTATTTTTATGAACAAAGTCAATCTTTGTGTTGACTTTGATTATTTGTAACTTTTGATTAAAACACAATTTTTTTAGACCGAACGATTAAACGATTAGTTTACTTATTTTTGAACAGAATTAAAAAGTAATAAATATTGAATCAAAATGGTTTCCGAAAAAAGGATACATAGAAATTCGAAAACATAATTTTATAGGAGAGCATTTTTCAAATATTTTAACACCATTCTTATACATATATAACATTTTTTAAGTATTTAGATATATCCAAAAATTATATAGCTAAATTAAAAAACAAAAAAAAAATCTTTTTTTTTTTAGATAAAAAGAATTTTATATTTATTTTTAAGTGCATTTTCTTTTTTAAAATCACAATAAAGAGCAAACACTAAAATCAGAAGATATGATTTGATTTTAAAATATAATTTAGATATTGTTGAAAGCTAGCATAAGACTGGAAAAATTGCTAAAGAGAAGAAAAATACATAAAAGACGTGCATAATAAGTACATAAATATCGAAGCTGGAGCTTTTAAAGTTGGGCTTTACGGTTAATAAAACCAAGAATTCGATTGCGGTTTGCGAGTGCCGAGAGATTGCCGAGCGGCGGTTTAAAATATTAATCTCAAAGACGCGAAGAAGTGCACGGTGCGGAGGCGGACGACACCCCTCGTCGCGCAATATTTCTTTCCCCGCGCCAACCTTCCCGACAGTAGGTAGGTGACGCACGGCCTGTTCCTGGCGTCTGACAAACGGGATATCCCGTGACCGGTTTTTACAAACGGCATAATCGGCCTGTCGACCGTCGCCGCCGCTGTCGCTTACGCGGTAGATACGCAGGGTGCGGGATAACGGAACGACTCCGGACGCTGAAAGGGCGCAAATGACCTCGGTTTGCCACACCCACGGGGAGAATTATCATTTTAAATTTGTAAATGTACACGTCGCGGATATTAGGAGGAGAGAGACGCGTTTCTCTCGCGCTCGAGCGAGAAGATGCTGCGACGTCGGGGAGCGTCGGAACGAGGGATAAGATGATGGCTCCGGCCATTATTATGATAATACCGCCGCTTCTTCGTGAAGCTCTTCGGCTTTTGCGTTTCCGCGTCTTTTCGCTCTGGCCATCTTCTCAAGATGCACGTATAGTATACATGTCATCTGCCTGTCCCCTTCCGCCGCTTCTTTTACCACTCTCATCTTCTCTCTTTCTCCCTGTAACATAGTTGCGCTCTAGATGAATTTTGCAGCGAGTTTTGATCATGTTTCATACGCTCTTGATTGTGATTAGAAATATAAAAAATATAATTCTTTCAGGGTGAAGGCGATTATAAACTGTGTCCACGGGACAGGGTGCTCTTCATCTCGACACTGCATGGAGGGTAGAAGGTACAAATTTCCAATATATTGAGAATCGACGAGGATAAATGCGATCCATCCGAATATCATGGATTTTTTTTACATAATATATGTATAAAGAATTTTATATGTATTTCAGATCGTCATTGAAAAGAAAAGTTTTTTTTTCGCAGAATATTCTTCTGTGATCAGTTTCAGATGATTATGATATAGATTATTAAAAAAATACAATTGTTTTATCTTGCAATGATTCGACTATTAAAATCAATATTGATTTTTCAATTGGCTGATTTTTTGAAATTTGGCTTAGATATTTTTAATGACATTAATTTATAAATTATTATGATCTGAATGCATAATAAATGAACAAACATGTCGTGTACATAATAAATTGAAATTTTTACATTGCACCAATTAATAGTCACGTATACAATTTGATTTTATTTTCGTTCACGTGTGGATTGCATATCTCCTTTGTTGGTTTCCATTTTATAAAAAGGTATAATATGATATAAAGCGAGGTATTCATTCGAATATTCTGTTTATGACATCGTATATGATATAATAATTCGATGGATATTTAATTAGAGGCAAATTCGTCCAAACTTGAAAAAAAATTTGTTTTTGATAAATTGGGAAGCTTTGTAGAAGAATAAAAAATTTTTTGTATATATATTTTATTGCATAAAATATTTGAATTCTATGAAATTATTTTTATCAACAATTATTATCTTTTTACTAGGACATTTTAGCCAATTTTGAAAAATCTGCAATAATATTGTCGTACTACCCTTTGAAACCAATCATCCTCTTCCTAATTTCCTAGCTGTGAATGCAATTTGATAACAATGCATACCTCTTACATATATTATAGACTTGAATAGCTTTATGCATATTGCGTCACAATTGCATAACAACGCGCGATAATGTGCGGCTCTTTTTCGTTGAAGCGAAAAACTTCAGTGATGGAAAATCGATAAAAAAATTTTGTCGCAAGATCTGTGAAATCGCCTAATTATGTATTATAACGGCAAATATATTTGATATCTCTAGGACTGTCAGAAATATGACA